AGAATATGGTGGAAGTGACATTGTGTGACTGCTGTAATTAGGCCTCAAAAGACCTAACAGCAGCCTTCTCTTCCTCCTAAAATGCTGACCTGATTACCATGCCAAGAAACCATTTTATGGAAAATGGTAAGAAAATTGCTACTACGGACTGAGAAAACAAAAAGATTAGTGTGTTGTAGCTGTGAAACAATAGTCAGGACAATTTCCTACAGTGATTTAGGAGATACACAGCATATGTAATAAACTTTTGGAGTTGATTAGGCAATCCTTAAGGAAGGTATTGAAAGTATCTGCTTGTAGCTACCATTATAATGAATTGTGTTTTCAAGCACAATTTAAAGGAAATGTGGAGACCAGCACTGACAAATCAGTGAGACCCTGTCTCAAATTTAAAAATAACAATAAAATATAAAAACAGTTGGATGTGTAGCTCTGTGTGGAGGGTTAGGTTTCAACCTCCTGAATTCAAAACAAAACAAAAATTTAAAAGAAAAGCTTGGAGGCCTCTTGGGCCCTGGACTCATAATTTTTGCTGTGTGAGTTTTGCAGTCTTGGGCAGGTGGTAAACTAAGGTAAGATCAGCCTAGATTCATAGTAAGGAGATGGATTCTACTCCCTATTGGGAAGAGAAACAAAATCACATTGTTACAAAGAGTACTGGCTTTGAGACACTGTTACAATCATCTTTAAATCAATCTAACACACATGATGTGTAACTCCTGGTGAAAACTGTGTTTACAGAACTGGGAAGCATTGCTTCACTGTCCTCTAATTTCCTGAGTTCTCCCTTCCGCCCCCATCCTTACAGCCTTCTTTCCACTGCACTGATAATTCAGGAGCAGGCATCCTCCTGTGGGTTCTTTATTACTCACCAGGTTATCACTCAGTAGATTTTTTTTTTCCACCTAAGAATCCTGTTCTACAATGTGGGAAAGTTTCCACGTCACCTTTGATAATTTCCACAGTGTTCTCACTTTCTCTTTTTGCAATGCCTATTGTTTTACGTGTTGGACCATTTAACAGATCTAGTTTTCTCAACTTTTCTGTTCTGCTAATCTCCAACTTCCTAGGAGATTTCCTTAACTGTATGATTATTTTCTTATACTGAATTTTATATTACAGAACTTATGTTTTTAATTCTCCAGAACTTCTTGTTGATTTTTCTTTCTCAAGTATTCTTGGTCTTGTTTCCAGTACTTCCCTGATGATATTAATATTGATTTTCTCTTTAATCATTCGATTTTTTTCCCCCAAGTAGTTAGGATCAAACACAGGGTTGCACTATTGCTAAGCTATATCCCCAGATATTAAAAAAAAATTTTTTTTTGAGACTGTGTCTTGTTAAATTGCCTCAGTGAGACTCAAATCTGTGATGCTCCTGTCTCAATCTCCCTCAGTGCTAAAATTACAGGCACATATCACTGTGCCCAGTTAATTACATTATCTTGAAAGATGTCCTCTTTTGGCTGTACTCCCTTTTGACTGATCATTTCCTTTCAAACCAGAGGTTTTCCTCAGAAGATGTGACCCTTGGCAGCTCATTCACATTGGAAATTGACTGGAAGCCCTCAGGTATGAGGAAGCTCTTTGCCTGGCAGGTTCACTTGGGGCCAACCAGTGGGAAAATAGATTCTCCCTGGGATTCTCCAGGTCCTCTCTCTAGGATGGTTTGTTTTTTCCAGAAAAGTTCCAAGCAGTCTTGCTCTTAGCCCAGAGCCAAAGGGGCCATTGCTTCAGAGAGCCTCTCTTGGGCTTTCCCCACAGGACTAGCAGTCCACAGACCCGAGTTGTGGCTCCTCCTAGAGCCCAACCTGCCCTCTAGCTACTCTCCAGGCATCCAGGATAACAGATCCTCTGCCCAAACAGCTCTAAACCTGTTTCTAAGGCCTGTGTGCGCCTCTTCTCCAGATCAGCCTTTTAAGGGGGGACCCCTCTACACTACTAACCTGACAGGGGCTAAGTGGTAACCATCTGCAGAGTGCGAGACAGAGTTTGGGTGTAAAGGCTCAGACCTCTGCATGTCTGGGGCTTGTAGCTTAGGGATCAGAAAAGAAAGTGTGGAGGTCATGGCTGGTGACCAAGGACTGAGCCAGCTCTTCTGATGCTTCGTTTTCCTGTGCAGAGTGTTATATATAAATTCTCTATAGACTAAACCTTTGCTCTTTAGGTTTCTGTGTTCAATACAGTCATTGCAACAGTTGATACATTCTGTAAATTCGAGATTAGAAGTTTAACTAAGTGACTCAGCAGGGAGCCAGGGTCTTTACTTTGTAAACATCCTCAGCCTGTGCAAGAGAAAGGCACAGGTGTGGTGTAAGTGCTACACCCAGGCAGGTGGTAGCTTGCTTATAACGTAAGAGAAGAGAAGAGGCTTGTTCTGCCCTCCTATTTTGTTCTTGTTGGTTTTTTTGTCTTCTGCTGCCTTTAAGTGTTGCCCCTGTGCCATGTCATTCTGCTTTGGAGCCAGTTGATAATAGACTGAAACCTCCACAAATTGTGAGCTACATAAACCTTTCCTTACTTAATTTTTGGTGTCAGGTATTTTGTCCTAGCAATGAGAGAAAAGTTACCAACACAGTCATACAGATACATGGAGAAAGACAGACAGACCTGACAAAATGGCCAATTCTACATGGCATCTTTATTTATTTATGGGGGGGGTACCAGGGATCGAACTCACAACTATGTGCGTGCAAGGCAGGCACTTATGCCACTGTACGTGACATCTTTAAAAGAAAAAATCTAAGAAAAATAGAAGACCCTAAAAGAATCGTTGAAAAGTAATTTGATCAAGAAATAACTCAGAAACTAACTGTTAAAGGACCCTAGTGCCAGTAATGAAACTGTTTTCAAATCCGGAAACCAGGCAGTTTCAGAAATATGCTATTGTCTGCTATCATTCTGTTGAATCTGCTAACCTAATTTGAATTAATTTTAGGCCTCCTGAAAGTAAAATCTGCACTATCTAATGCTGCCACTGGGTGGAGGACCTGGCTTACTCAGGCATAATTACTTTGAGACATTGTACCAAATACAAAATGTTTCACCTAATTTTCAGACAATTTCATTATTAGTGTGGTTTCCCTCAAACTTTTCAGATGAGACCTAGAAAGGTTCAATGGGGAAGTGTTTGCCACGATTTTAATCTGAGGATTTGCTAAGTGAAATCATGTACAAGTTAATCTTGCCTATGTTAAAAAGGGGGTTGGGAAACCACAGGCTGAAACAGGCTCCTCTGCCAGGCAGCAGGAAAAGCACCAATCTCTCTGAGATCCAGGTGCTTGGAAGTCCGTCAGCCCCGTGACTGGCTCTGCCGCCGCCTCTGGTTTCAGGACCGTTCTCAAGTGCCAGCCAGTGTCCAATTCCAGCAGTGGGCCTCTGGATCCACTAAACCCCTTGGTCTGTGCTGTCTTCAGCCAGTCATAACCTCTCTTTTTGAGTAAAAGGGGAGCTGAGGAAGATGGGGCACAATTTGTCCATTATATGGTCCCTCCCTGGGCTAGCTTTCCAGTACCTAACTTATCTATCACAACTGAGACTGTGTGGTAGGCTCCAAAATGGCCTTATCTCCTTCCTGGCCAAAAACAGTGGATTCAAGAGATAGTTGTGGTTTGGAGCCGATGGCAGCTTCATTTTAGACAGCTTCCTGTCGTCCAAGGAGATGCTGCTGTTCTGTCCATCTTTGCGGAACTTTGTGTCCCTTTCCCCTGGCTGACCTCATCACTCCTGCCCCGTGGACTTCCATCAGGTGCCACTGTCTCATAGTCAGCTGATCTGCACCAGCAAGATCCCAGATGCAAGAACTATGACTTTCTTTTCTCACAATCACCACCCAGTACGTGGGAAAGAGCACCAGTCATCGCAATGCATGAGCAAACTACTCACCTATGATTCTTTTTTATCATGTTTTTTATGTGTACCAAAAACAACACAATTTATTTATTGAACAACAGGGGTTTTCCTTGGGTGAGACGAGCAGAGTAAGGGCATTTGTGTTAAAAGTTTGTGTTCAAATCCCAGCTCCACTCCTTACCACCTCTGGGACAAAGAAAATACCACCTCACGTTTTTTTTATTTTGAAATAGAGATTATAATAGTCGATTACTCCTCATAAACTTGTTAGAAGAGCAAATGATTTAATACATATGAAGTGCTCAGAACAATGCCCACAATTACAGTGATTCAATTACCATAGTGAAGAGACAAGACTGGGCTCAAGGCTAATCCCTGATGCACACAAATCCTCCAATTTTAAGTGGGTTCTATAACCTCTCTAAGCCTCAATGCATCATTTGCACAATGTCGTACTAATACCTATTCCGCAGGGCTGTAAGAATCAAAAGAAATTGTGTGAAGCACTTAGAGTACCTCACATTCATTCACAAATATTAACAAGTATCAACAAGTTTTGTTAAAATTATCATATGTTTAAGTAAAAAAGTGCATCATTTGCGTGAATCATCTTTACTTACTACAGTAAAATTCAGCAATGAAGATTTTTTATTTACTTGTTAGTTAGTATTATTTACCATAATACTTCTACTTGCTAAAAGACTTTTTAATGTGAGCAACTATTTTGAAGATAACAATATGCAGTATAACAACCATTGTTAAATTCCTAACATCCTGCTTTAAACATTATCACTATTGTTTTTATTTGTTGTTGTTTTCATTTGGGTTTTGTTTGTTTGCTTTTTTATTTTTCTGTGCTTTTTTTTTCTTTAAAATAAAAAATATTTTAAAAACCTTTTTAAACATATAGAAATTTTGAGTTTTTAACCAAAATTGTTCTCTTCCTTCATAAGACCATTTAATTGGCTCCACTGTCTGTCTAAAATTAAAATATCCTGGTACACTTAAACTCAGCATAGTCATAACATACAATTTTTTTAGATTGCTAGACTTAAGTTTGACACATTGGCCCATAATTCTCAGAATGTGCTATGTCAATATAATATAAATTGGACTTCTGTGCAAAGAAAATTACTAAAGACAAAAGGTATCATTTTTATTTTATTATTTTGTTTTGCTTTTAGAAGGTATGCCACCATGTCTGACAGACTAATATTCTTATGAACATAGATCTCAACAAAATATTTAAAAAATCAAACCTAGGACTACATAAAAACAAAAATATATTAGGACCAATGGAGCTTATTCAGAAATGTAAGTTTCAATATCTGGAAATCAAATTAGTGCAATCTTCCATAGTAATAACCATGCACAGAAGAAAATCCAGATAGTCACACCAGTGGATGCTGTAAAGTAAAAATTCATAACAAAAATAAAATACTCAGCAGCCCAGCAACAGAAGGGAACTTTTTTGACCCAGTAAAGAACTAGAAGCCAGGAACAGTGATGCACACCTATAATTCCAGCACTCATGAGGTTGAGGCAGGAGGACTGTCCTGAGCTCAACTGCATAGCGAGACCCTGTCTCAAAACAAACAAACACACAAACAGAACTAGAAGAACTCTACAACTAAATCATCTTAATAGTGAAAGGCTGAATACCTGTACTGCCCAAATTGGGAAAAGGCAAGACTGCCCACTTTTATTCAATATAGTTCTAGAGATTATAGCCAGAGCAAAAAGACAGGAAAAGGTAATAAACTTTGGAGATTCAAAAGAAAAAAATTATATATATTCACTGATAACATGATTGCGTAGTCAAAAAATCCAAGGAAATCTTTTTTAAAAATGCATAGGACAAACCAGTAGTTTAGCGAAGTTGCAGATATAAGATCAACACACTAAAATGTCATATTTCTTTACAGCAGCAATAAAAAATTAGAAACAAGCAGTATAATTTTACATGCACAGGCTGACACTTTTGTCTTTACCAGTAACACAGATTTGTGTAAATTCCTTCAACACTTTGAATCTCAGATTCCTCCTCTGGAAAGCTGAACCCACAATTCTCAGGGTTCCCAGACTTGCAGGACAAAGTGCATGGGAACAGCGTCCCACAGCTCAACCTGGTCAGGTCCCGCCAGCGCTCACTGCAGCCTCGTCCTCGGCAGCTCCTACTCAGGAGCCCTCCTCTCCTGGACTCCATGACCTTGTGCTTTGCTTCCTCAGTGTCTTATGTGAACTTTCTCAACCTTGCATTTTATTGCTTTCTATCTCATTATTCCTCTTTGATTTAATTTCATTTGTGGATATTTTCCACCACTAACTTTTGACTCTTGGACTGTGTGTGTGTGTGTGTGTGTGTGTGTGTGTGTGTGTGTGTGTGTGAGTGTGTGTAGTATCAGTAGTATTAGTAGTAGCAATAGTGGGGTTTGAACCCAAGGCCTTCACAGTGAACTATGACCAAATCCCCAACCCTTTTTCATTTTGAGACAGGGTCTCACTAAGTCAGTAATTTGTCCAGGCTGGGCTTAAACTTGACATCCTCCTGCCTCGGCCTCCCACACCTGACATAATGTTTGACCCTTGCAAGTCAGGCTTTTCATTGGCCCTTCTCACCACACAGAAGATTTTAATGTGTCGGTTTTCATGGGCAGCACTTCTCAAGCCAAGCCTTTGCCAGTGTGCTAACCTGTGCCTTTACACCCTCCGAGATGACCTTCACCAAACATGCCTCCTGTGTGAAGCTTCCATTGTGGGTTGGGTCTGTGTGTCACTGAGCTTTCAGTTACTGTAACAAATACCTGAGATCACCAACTTATGAAGAGAAAAGGATTCATTTTGTCTTATAGGTTTTTTTTTTTTTTTTGGTCTTTTTCATTTTTATCGGTACCAGGGATCGAACTCACGACCGCACACTTGCAAGGAAGGCGCTTATGCCGCTGAGCTAAATCCCCCACCTAAGATTCATTTTGGCTCAGAGTTTTGGAGGTTATGGTCCGCAGTTGGTTGTCCCTGATACTTTGGGCCTCTGGCAAGGGAGCACATCATGGGAGAAATGCTTGGTAGAGCGAAGTCCCTCGCCTCACAGCCAGGGAGCCAAATGTAAGGAAGGGGCCACAGCCCCATAATCTCCTCCACAGGCTGACGCTTCCAGGGACCTGTAGACCTGCCTCCCAAAGTTCCCACCACTTCCCAACAACACCATGTTGGAGACCAAGTCCTTAACGTATTAGCCTTTGAGGGACTTATCAGATCCAAACTATGGCAGTTTAATTCAAATTAATAGAACAAGTAAGCTTAGTTGATGAATTAAATTACTCAGCCAGCTTTTCTTAGGCAACAAATTTTACTGAGCACCTATTACCTGACCCAAACAGGAACAAGTCCTGATCTGATGGACCTTACAGTTTAGTAGAGACAGATTGGTATGAAATCAATAATTATAAGTAGATAATTATACAATTGTGCTTTGAAGAGAGAGTTTACATTGAACTGTCTGAAACCAGTCACACAAGTACAAGTCATGCTACAAAAAGGTGACATGAGTGAAAGTTTACAATTTTTTTTAGTCTTTGGTACCTGACAATATGCTGATGATGTGGGCAGTCTCATTTTTGCAGAACATGTTTCTGACGTGGCTTCCATCATATTCAGTGGGCCACACCTTTCAACACAAGGTCTTGGACCTTGTTGCAGTGTGCATTTGCCTCCTCTTTCCTGAACTCAGGAACCATTGAATTGGAGCTTACTTCTTCCACTTAATTCCTCACACCAAATGAGGGTACAAAGCACAGCTCCTTTCAGCAATCCTGGAGAACAGTGCATATTCACCCCACAGGGTGCGAGGAACAATGTAAGGTCCTACAAATGAGAAGATGCAACAGACTGACTCCAAATCCCATGAGCTCTGAACAGATGAGCCAGGAATCCTGAGCCTGGTGTGGGAAACAACAGAGCAGCAGGGACACCATGGTGCCGTGGGCAGTGGCAGGCAGGGGCCTGGGGAAGAGCGGCAGACAATCCAGGCTGCAGGTGCAGAAGGAGTGGGTTCACACATGGACCACACACTTCAGGAGGACACTGGCAGTGTGGACATGCTCCCTCTTCATTTCTCCTGAGACAGCGCTGGGAGTCCCAGGAGGCAGATCCAAGCTAGAAACATTCTAGAAACTCCATGGGACGGAGCGCTTCATTAGAGAGTGAGCTTGAGCACTCAACATTTCAACTTCAGGAGCCCTGATCAGAGGTGGTGCAGATGGCACCCCTGAACTCCAGGGCTCCTCTCTGGACTGATGGAGAGGCACTTGGGCAGCTGGTCAACAGCAGTCAGTGGGCTTGTGGAAGGAAGGACAACTGCTTACATCAGCCAGTGCTGAGTGTGACTTCAGGCTTGTAAGCAGACCTCGGTGTGCCAACTCAGAAAGGGTCAAAAGACAGGAAACAAGGGGAGGGGTTTGCTGGTTCATGCTTTTGTTCAGAATATAAATATCCAGGTGGAAATGCCCCTCTAGGAATACAGTCATAAGTCCAGGACTCTGTGCACAAACCCATCCAGACCAAGTACACTGGAAGAGAACACCACCTTCTCATACCATCAGGATCAGTGGGCATGTGCATGGCTCATGCCTGTAATCCCAGCACTCCATGAATTTGAGGCCAGTCTGTGCTAAATAGTGACTTCAAGATCATCTTGTACTACACAGACAGATTCTGTCTTTAAAAAAAAAATCAGTAGGCACAGACTCCCTTCCTCCACAGGAAGGGGCTGGAAAGATCCTAAAGATTTGGGAAAAAATGGCCAAATAAAAAACTTAAAAACCTGTACTTGGTTAAACAGTCCCAGTGAGCTTCATTCAAAATTCCATCTGAAGCTGGTGCACGCCTGTAGTCATGGCTACTAGAGATGCTGCGGCAAGAGGCTCACTTAAGTCCCAGGATTCAAGGCCAGACCCCATCATAGTGAGACTCCACCTCACACCACACAAAATCTCATCTGAACACAACTAATCATAATTCAGATTCATATGGGAGCCTCGCTGGGTGGGACACAGCACTGAATCCTGAGGCCTTGGAATTGCTCCTCTGGCATGGCCAGTGCAAACTTGAGAGAGAAGTCAGCAGAACCAGAGGAGAGTGTGCTCTACTTCCAAAGGAGAAGAACCGCCCTGCTTCAAAGACCAAATGTATTCTGATCTTTATAACAGTGGAAGTCATCAGAAAAGGGAAACTTTAATGCATTTTGGAAAAAATATTTTAGCAGACAAGATCCTGTTATTTGTCAGAAGGAAGTCAATCATGGTGTCCTGCATTCTCTTTCAGCACAGGGACCACTTGGGATCCCACAGACAGGAAACATGGAGAAGATGAATCCAAAGAGGTATGCATCAGGTACACGCCAAATTTCACCTGTGCACAAAACAACAACAACCAGAAAGGCAGGGTTATTCTAGTGGTTAAAAATAATTTTATAAATAATAATGACACCTAAAGTCAACCAAATCTTTAAAATCATGTGTGGAACATGTGAGTTACAAGGGTTCAAGTTACTCACAAGGTCCCATCTGTTACACAGTAGAATGCAATGGGCAGGAGAAGAATCCTAATTTCAGGATCTAAAGAATCTCCCTCCGGGGCTGGGGATTTAGCTCAGCGGCATAAGCGCCTGCCTTTGTAAGCAGGCAGTCGTGAATTCAATCCCTAGTACTGATAAAAATGAAAGAGACCAAAAAAAAAAAAAAAAAAGAATCTCGCTCCAAGGTTCATGTTCCCCACAGTGGCTCACATCTCTTTCCTGCTGGCTCATTCTTTTCACCTCCTTCTCATAGACCCCGAGCTTCATGCAGGAGCACGTCTTCCTGTCCTAGGCTCTGACCACCGCCAATCTAACTTTTCCTCTGTTCTTTAATGTAAATGGCACCTGAGGAAGATAATGGAAAAATCCTGCACTTTCCTTGAGAATGACTAAAAGTTCTCCACATTCTCCAGAATAAAAACAGAAGGTCTAAAACGGAAACTGTGAAGTCTGCTCAAGGCTTGCCATCCATGCAAACGGACTGTCTTGGGTGGATGTGACAAGGATCCTATCTATTAGCTCCTGTGATAACATCTTCAGATGCCCTGTGTTCCAGGCTCTGGATTGGCGCTCAGCTAATTTCCTAGGATCTGTGCCCATGTAGATGAAGAGTGCACAGGGTTCAAAAATTTAAAAATAAAATATTTGTTTCCACAAGAATTAAAATGATGGGGCTGGGGATTTAGCTCAGTGGAGCAAGCACTTGCCTGGAAAGTGCAAGGTAATGAGTTCAATCCCCGGCACCAAAAAATAAAATAATACAGAGAAATGGCACTTCTCATGGTAACTGTGTCCCCCATCCCTTCACCAGGCAACCTGCATGAGCAGGCTCAAGGTCCCCTTGCCCTTTCGATGTGGCCTGCAGTGACCAGGCAGACAAGTTGCTATAGCACTGAAATACAACACCTCTGCAGACCATACGCATCCCATATCTAAAAGGAGAGTTCTGTAACTCAAATACTGTGAACAATGCCCTCTCCTTTTTTTCAGTGGCAAGAATTGAATTCAGGGTCTCATGCACGTTAAGCAAGAACTCTACCTCTTAGCTGCATCTCCAGCCCTGAAACCTGCTTTTGAAGAAACATGAACAGTGGTGGAGAATATTTGACCACGAATTAACTGGCAAATTTATTATTGGACAAAGATTAAATGTTTGCATTATTTCTCTTAACTTTTGGGAAATTTTTAATGCAGCCCAACAGCTTATATGGTTTCCTGTAATTCTTCACAAACAAAAAGTCCTAACAGAAAATGCAGGACTGAAAATAAATTGTTTCTAAACAATCAGTGTAAATGTTCAGTATTTATAATCTGGAATCCATAATAACATTTAGCTACTTTAACCTTTGAGTAAATGAACTGACAGGCTTAGTACAAGGCTTAGTACAATGAAATTAAGGGCATTTTTCTAGATAGCTGCTCCACCACAGTGAGCCATTTTACTCTTATGAGATCGTGGTAGTGCAGAAAATAATGAATAAGACAACACAATTACTTTATTTATTTTTTATATTCTTTATATGTTTTGTTTGGTTTTGCTTTGTTTTGTTTTATTTTGTTTTGTTTTTATTTTGCTTTTGTCTGAGACACAGTTTCATATGCAGTTCAGACTGGCCTCGAACTCACAGCAATCTTCCTCCCAAGTACTCTGATTACAGGTCTATGATACCAAACTCAGTACTCCTTGTATCTTTAAGAAGATTTGAGGGCATAAAAAACCATGTAATAAAATCAACATTCCTCTCCCCCTAATAAAAGGGAAAACTGAACAGAGAGGAAAGTAAGCTGGAGCCATGGACAACCTGGGACCTTAAATGGGCTTTGGAAAGTGCAGCAAACCCCACTGCTAAAGCAGCACTGTTATCAAAAAGTTCTGCTGTTGATAACACATCCAGATCTTAAAACAGGGTGCCAGATTTCACAATCATACTTACCTTTCTTGTGCGACTCTCAGAAAGTTTTTGGAAAACGTCTTGGTTTAGTTGCCCAGTCTGCTGGTTGATGCAAATCATCTGGCATCTATGACAAGGCCCCATAACCTGCCACAAAAATGACCAAATCTTGGCATTTTTCAGGGAGGACTCATATAGAAAACTAGAGGAAGCCAAAAAATGGCCCCTGCCATTTGTCAGCTAAAAAGTCACTGTTTAAGGGCTGCATAGAAAAAGAAAAGATCATCTTGATCATTCTCAAGGAATGCTGGGAACTCTGAGGAGGGAAGTTAGTGGTGAAGAGGTCAAACAGAGAGAAAAGAAGCTACCAAAGAACCAGTACTTGGCCATGATAAGAAATCCATTGAGCCTTGACATGCCCAGTCCGTCAACTTACACTGTAACTTCTAAGAATTGAATCTAAGGAAGGAACCAGCAGTACCAACACAGATCATGCGTGAGAATTTCTCCTTACACTGCTGGCAGTAAGGAAAGCTTTGGAAAGCTTGGCAATGTCTTAGACATTACACAGTAGAAAAGAATGGTTAAGCAAACCATGCTACATCTATATGATATATATCATCCAGGCATTTTTTTAAAAACCTATAAAGACCTGTAAATAAAATTAAGAAATATTTGCTTTTGAAATTAAAGTGAGTATAAAGTACATTTTTATTAGTGTGAATTTTTAAATAATAGATAGGTTGACTACACACATACACACACACACACCTGCAACACAACACATAAAACAAAATATCCAACTGTTTAACTCTGGTCATACTAGGTGGTGGAACTTCTAAAACTCTGAAATTTATCATGAGATTTTATTGCCTTTACATCAAGAATATCCCTCATAAATGTTAAATTGAAAAAAAGACATAGCAGTAAGGATATAATTATTTTACTGCATATATAAAAGATACAAATGTATATATATATTTTCTATAATATATATATTATATATATTTTTATTTTTAATTTGTTTTTTATTTGTTTGTTTGTTTGGTGCCAGGGATTGAACTCATGACCTCACACTTACCAGGCAGGTGCTTACCCCACTGAGCTAAATTCCCAGCCTCACAAAGGTGTATTATTTTTGATCAGGCTGCCCAGGCTCATGTTAAACTCCTAAGCTCAAGTAACCCTTCTGCCTCAGCCTCCCAAGTAGCTGGGATCCTGTTATGGTTGATATGTGTCAACTTGAGAAGTTTAGAAGTTTAACTGAGAGACTCAGTTGGGAGCTTTAGCCAGATTTATGTTGTGAATCAAGAGCAAAAAGCCCAGCAGGATGATTAAAACATTGTGAATTTGGCCAGAAAAGAAGTTCCAGTAAAGCTGGTGACTATAAAGACAGAGCTGAGAACTCCATTGCTGAGAAGGGTCCAGGAGAATAGAAAAGATGGCCTTGAAAGCAACACAGAAAGTGGCAAGTCTCTACCCTTTTCAGCCTCAAAGCTATAAAAGTAAAAGAATTAGCTGTGAGGCAAAAGCTGCAGTGCACAATGTTTCAGAATGGTGGTGGCTGTACCATGTTGCAGAACGGAGGCAACATATAGAATCTCTTCCTCACAACCAGGTTCAGAGTCCCAGCAATTCAGGCACTTGACCCCTACAGCCAAGAGAGAGAAAAGCCTGGCTACTGCTCCAGCTGGCAGTAGACCTTGGTAGTATTCGTGTAGCTGGCTTTAGGCACATGAAGAATACATTAGTTCTGAGGTTAAGGAAGCCCCACTCCTATTTCAGAGGGACGGGGGAGCCAGCCAGTGTACCCCTGAGAAAGCAGTGTGTGCAGCTAAGAGTATAGAGCCAAAGGTGTAGTGGAGACCCCAGAAGTTTGAAAAAGCCAGGAATATGGATCCTCTAAGGAAACCTGTAAGGAGGGAACAAAACAGGCCTAAGAGAAAAGCTGTGGGAGCTACAACCACTAGAAGTACCATAGGAGTAGAACCACACAGCAGTTTGGAGCTAACAATTTGCCACAGATTGCTTCAGTTTCTGGATGTGCAACTATAGGATTTAATGTTTGTCCTGCTGGGTTTTGGACTTGCAATATTTTGGAATACAAATCCTTTGTATTCCCCTATTTGTAACTTTTGGAATGAAAATGTTTATCTTGTGCCACTGCATGTTGGAAGTGTTTAATTTTGTTTTCACTTGTACAAGGCAGCTAAAAGTATACCTTCCATCTTGGAGGAGACTTGGGACTTGAACTTTTCAGCAATGCTGAAACTGTTAGGACTTTGGCAACTCTTGCAGATGGACTAAATGCTTTTTTGCATTAAAGGATCTGTATGAGTCTTTGGCCAGGGGAAAAATGTTATTGTTCTAATGTTATATAATGTTGACAGACTTTATGTTGGTTATTAAGGATTGTTAAACCTGTGTTATAATGTTCAAGTTGTGAAATGCTAAGAATAAGCATGCCTTTGTATTCTGGAGGCTGGTTTTAAAAAATATGTCTGGTTGCCAAGTTGACAAGGGATGGATTGTTATGGCTGATACATTGTGACAACTTGAAAAGTTTAGAAGTTTAAAGGAGAGACTCAGAAGGGACCTAGGATCCTTACTTTATAAATATCTTCTCCCTGTGCAAGAGGAAAGCACAGAGATTTGTGAGTGTTACACCCGCCCTGGAGAGTAGGGGGAGGGCCTATATAGAATATAAAGGAGGAAAAGAGGGTTGTTCTCCCATCTTTTTGTTCTGGCTGCTGCCTTGAAGTGTTATTCCCATGCATGCCACCCTGCCTTGCAGCCAGCTACTTATGGATTGAAACCTCCAAAAACTGTAAGCTAAATAAACCTTTCCTTCCTTAATTTTGGGTTTTGGGTATTTTCTCCCAGCAAAGAGATAAAAGTAATCAAGACAGAGCCACAGCCACAGCACATCTAGCAACTAGTTTTTTTTTTTTTTTAATAAACATTTGCTCCTCACTCATTTGCTCACAGACAGACAAATACAAACTATGTACTGAAATTAGAAACACTAATCTTGATGTGCCTTCATCTGTTACTGTCACTCACATTCTGGCCACTAAAACAGTGAAAACATAATCTCTCTGTGGTATCGAAGTCAAGATTTCTGGGCCATGCAAGCAGCCGGTGTATGCTGTAATGGAATTCTGCCCAGTGCTCCTCTGTGACACTCGGCAGACCTGTGACCTCTTCAAGCCTCATTTCCTCATCCAGCAGCCTAGCTGGATTTAATAAGAATCCTAATCACTATTTCTGGGATGCCAAGCCCAGGCCTGGTATTCAGTCATGCCCCAAAGTGGAAACTCTCACTGTCCACCTTGAAAATGGTGGACAACCTGGGCCCAGTGCCACAGAAGGGATGTGAGGCTAGCAAGCACATACCAGCCCCAGGCCCAGGCTCCACTTGCCACTGACAGCCTACCTATAGCTAGAAATCCTGACAGTTTGTTTAATAGGCTGTCTTGAAATATTTTTGCAAACTGGCAAAAGGGGCATTTCTCCAGACACTTTCCCAACACCAATACAAAGGACACAACTTTCTTAGAATGTTGCTCTTTTTAAGGGTCTTGTTCCTCTGACCCCGCAATGTACTCTCATGGGTTGGTATTTTAGATACTTGGGTTTTTTTTTTTTTTTGTCTTTTTCCTTTGTTTTTTAGCATATGTACTCACTGTGAAGGAGGTCAAAGAAACAGCAGCATGAAAAATTAGAAGATAAAACACTAGCAATGGCATCTGCTCCTGTCCTCAGAGACCAGTGCAGCTGAGAGCTGTAGAGCATCCTATGCAGTGGCGTGGAGCTACCACAGCCATAATCTGCACCTGCATGAGCGTGTGCTGACACCTGAAAGGCCACAGGGGTCTCTCTCAAATACTTCTCAAAACAAAGGGTCACCTCCCATGACAGTGCACGCTTAGCTGGCGCATCCACACATTTTGCAATTTTCATCATGGATGCTCTGGAATTCTCATGACGGGATGTACTTAGCTCCTCTCCTTTGAAGTCACATAAGAAGTTCATAATGCTTTGCTGTTATCGATAGTTGTGCAGTCAAGGTCTGAATTCACTCATTTCTCTGACTTATCTGGAATTTTTTCAGGATTAACCAGTAAGATTAAAAGGCCAACTAGATGATATCCAGGAAAAACTGCTCTTTAAAAGAAAGGTGCCATCATACTACAGTGATACAGCACTTCCACCATTATAACAGTGGCACAATTCATATAAGCCAAGTCTTGGAAGCCACCTCTATGTCCATCAACAGATGAATGGATAGATAAAGAAAACATGGTGTTTATACACAATGGGCTACTACTCTGCCATAAAAGATAAATGAGTCATTGGAAGGAAAAAGGATGCCCCTTGAGACTATAATGTTAGCTGAAATAAATTAGACACACCAAGTTTATATATCACATTATTTCTCTTACATGGGAAACCCAAAATATACATAGGGAGCAAAATAAATAATAGATAATAGGAAACTGGGAGACAGATTTTTTTGCAAATGAGAAAGGCTCCAAGAGATGGAGGGAAGAGAGAGAGAGCAAAAGGAAAGGAAATAAAAGGAGAATTGAGATGTGTTACACACATGAACCAGTTCCCCATGAGGAACATAATCATTATGCACTAACAAGAAAGAAAAATTGAAAAACAAAAATAGTCTTGCTAAGTTGCCCCTCCCCCGCAAAAAAAAAAAAAAAAACAGGTGTCATTCCCTCTGTAGCAGCTCTAGCACTGTTAACATCAACAAACATCTTTTGAACACTTACATTTTGAAAGGCACAGCATTAACTGTATCTTATACTAACTAACAGTACACAGGACTACTAACAGGACTACATTGTATGGATATGGCATTATTTATTCAACCAACCTCCCTATTATGAATATTTAGAATGTTCCCTAATTTTTCACAATTATACTAATACTACAATAAATAATCTGGTAATATATTTTGCAAATTTGTATAAATATTTTTATGATGTATAAAGTGAAATTATTGGAGCCAAAGGCATACATATCTTAAATTTCCTTAACTGTTATTTATTAAAAACAATAATTAAAGAAAGGAAAATGCTAGCTATCATCTCAGAAAGTTTCCTTAGTGAGTCTTTTTTTCTTTTTAATGACCCCAGATACCTCGAGAAGCACCAGTGCTGCCACTGCCAGGTAAGTTTCTGAGAGAGACCCCAGTTTCATTTAGCTCTTTCCCTCCTTCTCTTCCTTTCATCCTCTCTACCTCTCCTTGCTTATCCATAAAGGTATATTCAGTGCCTACTTTGTGCCAGGCAGAATATGCAACAGCAGGTGTTTTTTAAACATAGCTGAGACAGTGATGGAAATGAATGGAGGCAAGAGGAAGTCTGGATGGAGTTAGGAGAGATGCAGGAAGGCAGGTGCCCGAGAAAGCTTTACAAGAGAGAATTTGGGAAATAAAAGATCCTTTTTTGGGGCCAGAGGAGGGGTGACAGCTACCAAGATAAAAAGTTTGAGGAGTTAAATAAAAAAAAATCACTAGACCTTTTGCTATATCTTGCTATTCAATACACACACACACACACACACACACACACACATACACACACACTCACTCCAGACCTGAAACTCCTTGATAATGATTTAAAATACTGTTTACTGCTTTTATGAATGCTGGAAAGATGACCACTCTGAAAGTATAGCTTGGACACAAGGTAGCGAGGCCCATTATATCCAGTTTATGCCACTGGCTAATACACCACTAGCATTAAAATAATGTTATTCCCACTGAAGAACTGTGCACATTCTCTACAAATGAGCCATCCTGCCACCCCAGTGATTCCTTGCACTGCTGTCCATTCATACTCTCAACAGTTACTTAGGGGGCACTAACTCAGCCAGAGCTGTACTAAGCTGTACTAAGATGCACCGCAAGGAACAAAACAGACTCGGTCTCCACCCTGTGAGTTCTGGACGGACAAGCAGACACTGTGAAGAATGTGAGTGCCCCGGGCCAAACCATGCCTTCAAGGAGTGACCTCTGAGAGACACTCTGGAGTGAAGTGCCAGCCGAGGGATCAGCAAAGGCAAAGATGCTGAGACAGGAAAGCTGGCTTGTTTAGGGTATGGAGATGAGGTCAGCATCAGAGGGACAGAGCAGAAAAGCGGATGGGCTGGGGAAAGTTGATAGGGACAGATCTCACAGGGCCTTGTCAGCTGTGAGAGGAGTACGGATAACTGCCTAAAGTATTTCCTCCCCTTCTCACATCTTTGAAGCCACAGCAAAGGTTCTACAGACCTGGGCAGAGATGACATCAGTGGCCTTGCCTATGAATGAAATCTCCTCTCCAGCTCCAGAGAGGGCAGAGGGTAGAGCACCTGGGGAGACAGCGTGGTCACAGGCACCAAGGGACCCCAAGATTTCTGAGTCTCCCTGCACAAGTCCCATGTGGTCAGAAAACCCAGCAAGATTCAGAGTGATGAGATTTCATAGACACAAAGCATTCTGAGAAAGAAAATTCAGGCCTAGATATGATGACAGTGTAGAGGTAGCACCCATGGGGAACAGTCATTTTGAAAACTGTCACTGCCACCCTTGTGGGGAGTAAGAGATGGATGATCCCAAAAGATGTCCCAGACTGCTGAGGTCACATCCCCTCTTGCTGACGTTTTGTGGATAAGAGGCAAGGATAGGGAGGGATGCTCACCTGCTATCATTCATGTCTGAGGTTAAGGTCAACTGTCATTGACAACCCTAGAGAAAGGATAATAAAACTTCCCAGAACTTACCTGGAAATGCAAGGGACCAATTGAGACCTCATCCCATTTCTCTTCTTCAAATGCTTTTGTTCCACTCATGATGATATTGGCCCGGAAACGTGAGATGAGATCTTTCATTGGAAATAATTCCTCCTTTCCATTCTCATCACTGTTTTAGACATACCAAAATGACTAAGTGGGTGCAGATAATTTGGTTGTTGCAGAAATAATTCGACATGCCTACCATGCAATGCCTGACTTTATCAATTCTACTCCTGCCTGATGCCCAGGTGGTCAGAACAAACTTACACAAGTGGAAAGCTGAGACACTCACCCACCTGTTAAAGACATATCAATGCCTCCCACCCAAGATATGATCTCACTTCCAGGTAGATGCTCACAAAAACCAGGTAAAGGGTAAACATGTGTAAGCTGAAGAAATGAAGAAACCAGATAAATGGAGCACAGTGAACTAAGTTCTGAGAAAATAAGTTCTACAATGTGGGACAGAACAGAGCACTTAAAGAGCTAAATTACCAACAGCATACAATGCACCAAGACCAAACATTGGCTTAGATATTGAAACATCATAAAGAAACACAGAGGATAATATTTCTAGCTTCCATTCTATTTGTAGTTTTAGCCAGCATTTGCTATTTTTAACACCCTTGTTTAAATTTGTATTGTCACAGAACCTTGATGCATGCCCACACAGGAATGCATTGAAGATAGACCTTAAAACTGCCCCAACAAAAAAGCATACTCTGTATGACCCTGTTGTATTAAGTCCAAGAACAAATAAAATTACCTCCACTGAAGGAAGTTGAAATAGGGGTTAATCCTTCAGTGGAATTGACCTAAAAGCAGTACAAAGGAGGTTCCAGGGGTACGTTCTCTACTTGATCTGGTTACATGAGTGCGTATTTCCAAAAATTCATTCATATGTACTTCATGTACTCCAATAAATATTTTTTAATGAATTGGTGTGTACTTAGGATTGGAGTGATCCTTGAGCATTGTGTAATTTGCCTTGGAGACGGAATTGAAACCAAGCAGGAGCCACAGGGAAGCTCTCACACACAGTACCAGTCTCAGGTTTGCACCTCTCTCCTCTGACTATCTACCCCACCCCTCAGCCTTGCTCTACACCAGCTGGTGGGAAATGCTGCCCCTCCTGGTAAGGTTCAGGGTTGCAGCAACCCAGTCCTCATTTCCTATCTTTCCACATCAAGAACCCCAGGGGGAAAAAGAACCAAAATAAGATGTGTTATGTACATGTACCAACTCCTCACTTGGGACCTAATTATTATGTACTACAAACACATACTAATAAACACTAATTTAAAAAAAAAAGCCTAATCTTACCATGGGGTAGTGGGAATGGGATGGGAGACAAGGCAGAAAGTGGCAGACTCCTCATCTCCTGGTCTGAGTACTTGGAAAACAGGGTCCCCACACTCTAGGAAAACTCAGTGAACTCCAGGACCCTGTCGCTGCATCATAAGTCTACTCCCAAGGAGGTTGAGCTGGCCCACAGCAAGAAAATGCTGCTGTATGATTTCACCAAAGACTATAAACAAGAATTACCATCAACAGTCCACCTTTAGAGAGACCCAGGAGGGATCCTCAGCCACTTCCATTAAGCTATATTTGTGCATTTTCAAGTGTCCACGTCTGCCCATGACTACATGGCACAAGACCATCCCAGGATGCCTGGCTGCAGGTGCTCCTAGAGGTGTATATCCACCTCTCTGGTCTGTGCATTACGAATTTGGAGCACATGCCCCAGACAGCTCTGGTATAACAGCTGGGTTATTTTCTCCAATTGCCTGGTTACCTTAGTATTTTAGTTTTCTTTAAAGAACAGCAAAAAGTTTCACCCAACCAAATCCTTTTTTGAGCTGAACTGACTCACTAAAACTGTCAGGTCCCTTAGAAGAGAACCATGCCAGGGAGAAAGGCAGGTTTGCTTGCTTCATCTGACAGTACATCTTACAAATGAAGTACACCAACAATCCTGAAAGGTTTTCAGATCTTCTCTTTTTCAACACTCAAAATGACTGTGAAGTAGGCCAGAGGTCTGAGGGCACGCTGGGAAGGCAGGCAAGGAAACTGGGTCACATTGGTGACAATTCAATTGAAATAAATATTAAGAAACTGAATGATTAATAAACGCAAGCTAAAGGTTCTCTACTGGGAATCTTGAAGGTGTCAGGAGCACTGGAGATGCTGTAGTTTAGATCTTTAGTGTATCCCACAGGTCCATGTGGTAAAGACTAGGTCCCCAGTGTGGTATTGCTGGGGAGTGGTGCAAACTTTAAAAGGTGGAGCCTCATGAGTAGCTTTTGGGTTATCAGAGGTACATTCACAATCAAAGGGGATTGTGGGGCTCTCATCTCTTCCTCTGTTTTTCTCTCCACCTTGCTGTGAGATAAATAGGATTTCCTCTGCCTTGTATTCCTCACACGATATGCTGGCATAGGCCCAAAGCAACAGGGCCTCCCCATCATGGACTGACCTCTCTAAAACTATTTAAACTCTATGAATTGGTTATCTCAGTTATTTGTTACAGTAATAGTACTGTAACATAGAAGACAGATGAGAATTCCTGGAAAGATGAATGGGAATTGGTCAAAACTACATGCTGACTTTTTCTGAGTCTCAGTTTTTTATCTGTAAATGAAAGGTCTGGACTCACTGTCTCTCTCAGATCCTCCCTCCCCCAGTAGGTGTCAGGCCTTGTCCCCAGGGGCGAGCGGGTTTCCCCTAGTCTGCCAGTCTTGTGGAAGACATCATACCTGGTGTTCAAGTGCTGATGAAGTTCCAGAATGCTCGATGTGTTTATTAGCAGGTACTGTGCCTCATTCACCAAGGAAAGGGTGGCTGTTATGCCAACAGGCTGATCTAGAAATGAAGGAAGTATTAAGAGCTGCTTTCTTGGAATGCTAATGAAGTTTCCTTTCCATAAATTTACATTTTCAAAAGGCATATGCTATTTCTACTAGGTGGGGTGGGTACTGACAAAAACAATAATCTTCTAAGCATGGCTTAAATCTTCCAAAGATCCAAAAGGAATGTGAAATTATCTGAAGAGAACAGCAATGATGAAATGCTGAAGTGAAATCGGTCCAGCAAAGGAGACCTGGTGTTTCTTAGAAGAAGAGCACTGGTGGAGGACTGGAGCCACGTTCCCCAACACACAGGACAAGGGAGAGGAGCCTGACAGGGCAGCAGGCCCATTCGGAGCTTCTGAATCTAATTAGGGAAAAGATACTGACTTTGAAATAAGTGGTAGAAGATTTAAAACTACTGAAAGAAAAAAGATAAAACTATTGAAAGAAAATTTCAAAGGCCATCAGAATTGCTAGCAGCCTGGCTTTGTCTAACAGGCCCACCCCCATTATCGTTATTCAAGCTGTTGGTCAAAAGGGTTGACTGGGCCAGGACCTAATAAGCCACCTCCAAAGTTGGACTATGGACCCTGGAGTACACAAGAATGTCCAGGCTGTCCTCTTCCATCTGTCCTCTTTGCTAAAAGGGCTCTGTCAGAAAGAGGAGGTGCACCCTCCACAAAAGCTCGGGGTCTCCTAAGGCACACTGCCCCTGAGGGCCAAGATGAAAATCTCCAGCATGGCAAACAAAAGCCTCATTCAAAACCCTGGAGCTGGGACTGAGAAAATAAAGTCTCCACAGCTCGGGCAAATGATCCTCCTATAGGTCAGATGGATTCTGATTCTTTACTAGCCACAAAACTTGCTGAAGCTAATTAAGTTGTCAAGGGGCAGATGATTAAAGGCATTTTAATGTTAGATCCCTGTGCTTCGGTCAAGGACCTCAGAGGGTTTGAGTGACAGTGTGTTAAGCAGCTCCTTCCTTCCCCAGCTCTTTATTACTTAAGCAAGGTTTGTCAGAAGACAGTGACACTGGCCCTAAGTGACAGCCACTCACCCATAAGGAACCAATGGCAGGGAGCCCTGCGGGCTCAGTAAGAGATTCATCTTTGCTCTTTATGTTCAATAATTATTTTTCAAAATATGTAGTATACTTATGTTACTTTGATCAACTTAGGACTGTTAAGAACTCAACCCAGAAGAAGTTTCTTGACACCTAGATCCTTAGAATCTCAACAAGCTTCAAAATTTTTTAGACATTTCAACTTACATTTTAATTTTAGAGAGATATAATGGAGCAATCAGTGAAAGATTTGTGAGCATATGATATATAACATTAAGATAAAATGCTGTTGAGGAAGTACAAAAAACATTAGGTAAAGAAGGAACATGAAACAAAGAAAATTTCTAATGACTAAAACACAGTTTATTCATATATATATACACATACATACATATATTTTAAATGAATACTCATGAAAGTCAAATTGCTGTGGTGCTGAAATTCCATTGGCTGTACTTAAAAGAGCCCTGTATGTTTAACAATGTGCTGAAAATCACCAAAACATTCTTAAAATTCAGGTAATAATATAAAAATGTATAAGGAGGAAATGTAGTTTTAAAAATTCTGCCAAAATGCAACAACACTAAAGTGTCTGAAGTCCAGGGCAGACCCAGAGAGCTCTGCACCACTAGTGGCATGCTTGATGCATAGTCACAGGTGACAGTCGCTGCTCCTGTAACATGTGGGTGACAGGCTTTCTTCTCTGCACCCAACACCTGCCTCACCCAGGCCTCAGTCTCCCACTAGGACACTGGAGCCACCTCCCATTGGCCTCTTTACTCCCCGAGTCTCCTGTCTGCAGCAGCTGCCCTACCACACCAGGAGCGCCTTTCAGACACAAGCAATGTCATCAAACTCCCGAGCTTAGAATTCTCCAAAGGTTCCTGCAGCCACAAGATAAGATATTGGCACCCCTTCTTCCCAGTTTCCTCACCATCTGCCTGCATTTTAACAATGGCTCATGATGAGAAAAAGATGCCACAACTCTCAAAAGTCTGAGTAGTTACGGTCCAGAGTTGAGACACAAGAGATTCTAGGATTTGCCAAGATTTCATCTCTATTTGGTGATAGAACTAAAAATTAGAAGCCTGGTCTTCTTCTTTCTAGATTTAAGTTGGGGACACTGAAGCTATTAATGTTTTTGTTTAACAAAACTGAATGTGCTCCCACACCCATGGGAATGGGCCGAACCCCTGAGCAGAGGAAGGCAGCTGGTGTGACTCTCTCCTCGGCCTCTCTCTACAAGGGACTGTGGAGCCCACTGGTCTCACTGATGGGGGCTACCCCAGCAGCTTCCTGCTGATGGATGACTGTCCCTGTGTTCTGCACGTGAGCCAGTCACCCTGTGAGGACATTTCATGGCTGTTTTTGATGCATGCAGAGTAAACCAGAGTTCCTGCCCTCTAAGAACCCATCCCAAATGTAATAATACCTTTTCCTTGTTTCTTCTTTGCATTTCGTTGCAAGTTTGAACTTTGTTTGATTAAATGACAGGGACGGCCCAAAAACTTGGACAACCAGCTCGAAATTTTTTCTCCACAATCATATGTATTTACCCTGGGGGGAAAAGGAGAAAGGAGAAAGGGAGGGGAGGAGGGAGGAAAGAAGGGAAGGAAGGAATAACGGAAAGAAAATAGAGAAAAGGGGTGAACTTTTATGTAGTATTTTAAGAACAATTATGTGTACCACAAGAAGTCAGATTAAAATAAAATAAAACAAAACAACAACATTCCCCAAGTACCCCTAGGAGCAGAAGGTGGTTTGGGGGCTGCCAGAAGATCAAGGCAAGGAAACCCTATCCTATGTGGCTTGGGAGAAGCCTTTGGACCAGATTAAACACCATAGAAATTCCTCTTTATAGTCATTTTTATATTAATTATTGACACTAAGAAGCACAAAGCTTAGAATTTGAGATCTTCCCAAAAGGCATTTTGCATGAAGAAGCACTTGAAATGTGTCCTGGTTTTGCACGCTGAACCTGACTGAAGCATTTTCCCTCACAGCCAGATCATGTGGCTGATGTGTTTGGTTTGCAAAATGAACACTGTGCCTATAAGGTACTAGAATAAGCACATTTATTGAACCAATGTCTTAAAATTTGGGGATCTTCTAGAATCTTCCAAATGTACATCAGTGGAATTTATGATATAAAATTGTTGATATCTTATCTTGAGATTACAAGATAATATTGTTGAAAATCTATGTTATCTTTAATTTTTCCTAGGAGAAATAGTTTCCCTCCTGTCCTGGGAGAGGAAGTGAACAGGACTCCTCTGTGTAACTTTCTCTCCTGTGTGTTGAGACACTGCACCCTGTCCATGTTTGTTACACTGAGTATCCATGGGTCCAAGGAGAGATCCCTAGCGCTGGCCATCTGAAAAGCTTTATTAACAGGAAGAAAGTACTGCTCCCACATACAGTAGAGCGAAGTGAACAAGCAGGGCGGAGCCTGATGAGTAACTACTGGTCTCCCTCCAGGACTACACTTCTATTGGCAGGTGAGTAACAGCAATGTGGCAAAGAGTTGCCCCCAAATTCATTACTCTCATTGAGATTGTGCTGTAATTAATGTTTAAATTGGCAGAAAGTTAAATTATAGCAAGTGTTGGCAAGAAGCTAGAGTATGTCTCAATTCTTCAGCCGTCCTTCAAGTAGGAGACCAGTGCCTGTGATACTCAGTGTTATGGGCCTAGTCATTCTCCAGGATCTTCACGCCCTCTTCTGGGCTCCTCTGCCCAGGGGCACTAAGTACTCAGGTCCAATTTGGATGTAGCTCTAGTATCTGAGTATAAAATATCATGTCATGCTCTTTGGTCCCAGCTGCTGACATGCCATCCAGACTAAGGAAGACCGGGAAGCTTCAGGGCCGTGTGAGCCATGGCCATGGCCACATGGGCAAGCACCAGAAGTACCCTAGAGGCCAGGGAAATGCTGGAGGCATCACCACAGGATCGACTTCAGCAAGTATCACCCAGGTTACTTCGGGAAGGCTGGTATGAGGCATTACCACTTAAAGAGAACCCAGAGCTTCTGCCCAACTGTCAGCCTTGATAAATTGTCAGTCAGCAGACACGAGTAAATGCTGTCAAAAACAAGACTGGAGCAGGTCCCATCATTGATGCAGTGCGGCCGGGCTATCACAAAGTTCTTGGGAGGGAAAACTCCTACAGCAGCCTGTCATCATTAAGGCCAAATTCTTCAGCAGCAGAGCTGAGGAGAAGATTAAGGGTGTTGGGGCTGCCTGTATTCTGGTGGCTTGAAGCCACAGGACAAGGGGGGCTCATTAAAATGCTAATATATGGTTTTCAAAAAAAATAATTTAAAAAATAGCATGTCATGATAGGCAAGATTGTGTAGGTCCATAGCAGTGTAGGTAGAAATATAATCCAATCTGATACCATGGAGTAGCACCAACAATCAAACACACCCCACCCACTATCAAGTTCACTGTGTAACTGATGGGCAATTCGTATTCTTGTATCGTTTCAGTACATAGAAATCCTTAATGTATGTTCTATAGTCAGTTGCCATGGTCAGGGTGGGAATTTGGTTGGTATTAGATGGGACAGGTTTCCCATGATTGTAAGCTTTGCTGTTCAGGTACAGATCAGATTTAGATCACAAGGGACATGGGTATTTGATTTACTCCATGATAACTATGTATAATCAAGCCATAACATTTCCTAGATTTTAGCAGGTGTTATCATCAACAATGCAAATTAGGTAACACTGCACAGCTCTACAGTACATAACTTGCAGTGTGTCACCTGAATGCTCCACTTTAGAAGCCTGAGGGATGCTGTGACACACATCTCACCCTCGGCCTCCTGGTCCACTCAGCGACTTGTTTTGATGGAGTATTTCCAGAATATATATCTGAGGCCCACCTGGTTTTCCCCCTGACGTTGGTCGAGCTTCCATTTCCCCTCACCTATGTTGCCCACTCAGGCGTTTAGCCAACCTTCCCACTTGCATCCTACCCCTTCCCAGCTACTCTGTACCCATCAGCCAGTCGGAAAAATGTGAACTAAGTCTCTTCCCTCACCATGGGGCTTCTCTGAGCTGCTGCAGTGGCCTCTAAACTGTTCCTCCTGATGTACTTTGTGCTCCTGCCCCATACTGTGTACCCAGCTCTGTTCCAGGCTCTGCGGGAAGAACACAGGAATTCTGGGAAGAGCTAACAATAAATGAACAAATAGAGTATGCTTGGAACAATAAACAGGAAGGACATGAACAAAGCCATGGAGAGGGAGGGGTCAAATTCTGGCGGAGATCACGGGGTTGATCATGGGGTCCTCTGAGAAGAGAACTTTGGGGCAGAGCCTGGTGGAGGGGACACCAGTGAAGGGGAAGAACTGAGTGCTATAGAATAAGAAACAAGGGAAGAGCATTCCAGGCCTCAGGAGTGTGTGTGGTAGTTATGAAGAACACAAAGGAGCCCATGGTTAGAATGGATTGTGCCACCAACAGGATGAGGAGTGTGGCAGAGGACGGATCATACAGGGCAGTGCTCTCCTCTCCTCTGTGCCACCATGCCCATGATAGCCAGGACTGTCACCTACCTCAGAGTCTTACCTGTCTGTACAGACTCTGCTTTGGCAAATCTGAATCCGTTCATTATCTTCCTCAAGAGGCACCTCTATGGGCTCCATCCCTAATAAACAAAGGGGATAGATGAGTTTATCATCATACCAAATGAACAGCTATGCAAGAAAAGTCCATGGTTGTGACACCTACAAGAATGTTAATGACTCTGGAACTTGGATGGATCAAGAGCATGGTTGGGTTTTAGAAATTTATAACACATACATGAAAAAGAAATTATAAGCAGAGATTTTCTTCATCATTATTCAGTACCACCAGCAGAGTGGCTTCAGGCAACTTCCTGGCAGAAGATCCTGCACTGGAGCAATCATGCTCACGGTCCCTGTGATGCTCTATAAATTACTTTGAAAGATTTCTCCACTCCACAGGACTCCACTTTCTGAGGTCATCATCCTCTAAGCTATCTTAAATCCTCTATAAATAGACAGGCAGACATGAAGCCTCATGCTGTAAAAAATGTAACATTAAATTAAATTCTTGCATCAAGTCATTACTGCCTAAAAAAAACCCTACTATGTCATTGAGATTGGAAACTATTCCTTTTTCTTTGTTATACATATTATATGTATGTTACATACATTTATAATAGTTTAAAATAATATATGTTAATATCTTAGGTACCAAATTCAAACACAAAGGGAACAATACAAAGTTACACTATGGTTTAGGTCTAGATGTCCCCCCAGGCCTCATATGGTCATAGAGCTTTTTCAGAAGTGGCTGAATCTCGAGTGTGTGATGTTAGGGTTAAGGGTGTGTGACTACTAAATCAGTCTACTGACTGGCTTGGCACCACCATAACCCCTGCAGTGGGGATAAGATAAAAAGGACAGAAAGGCCTTTCCTCCCTTGTTGCTTTTTCTGCCTTCTGCTGCTATGAACTATTTCTCCTCTGGATGCGCCTCCACCAAGCCACTCTGCCTTGGAACCAGCTGATGATGAACTGAAACCTCTACAAACTGTCAGCTAAATAAACCTTTCCCCTTTTAACTTTGGTGTCAGGTATTTTGTCTCAGCAATGAGACAGAAGTAACTAAGACAGATTACATATATATCAATCTCACTAATAAAAATACGTATAAAAAATGCCAAGTACAAAATATTATCAAACCAAACTTAGCAATATGTTTAAAATTTATTGACAAGCAGTATTTTTATTTCTAAAGAAAGCAAGGATACTGCAGTACTAGACAATCTACAAACAATGTATTGCATTAACAGTATAAGAAAAAATAATAAAGAACAGATGCAGAATAAACATTCAGTAAAAATTAACAATTAGTCATAAAGATTTTGACAATATAAGAAAATAACTACTTTAGCTGACAAATTAAATCTTATTTAACACAAACATCATTCTTATTTTTGAAACTTCGGAAGTGGCAACTCAAGTCAGTAATAGAGAACTGTGGCTTCCAACACTACTCCATTCAATATTACATAAGACAGATTAGCAATGTACTAAGAAAAAGAAAAAAGAAATGAAAATTGGAAAGGAAGATAACAAAAATATTAGTAGAGTAAGATATGGGAAATTAGGACCTAACTAAAAAACTCCTGCATCCCCAGAAAATGTAAAGCCAGGCTCACTGAAGACAGTAGGGGCATTCACGACACCCTGTCCCCAGAGACCCTCCCTCTGTGCAGTGCCATGGAGGCCAGGAAAGACCTCCACCCTCCAGCTTTCCCTGGAGGAAGAAGGGTTGGTTTGTGTGCCCAGCACCCAACTTTTCTGAGAGTGCTCAACTGCAGACTGGCTTATGCCTTCACTGCTTTAGAGCTCTGTGACAAGTTTGGCACAGTTAAGCCACCTCAGGGAGAAAGGAAGCAGAAGCTTGGGCTGGCAAATACCATTGGTCCTCTTCCCTGCTCAGAGCAGGCAGACAAATACATAGCTTCCCGCTTCTCCTAAGGGAGAGAAAGAGTTGGTAGAGAACCTCAGGATCTCTGATCATGCAGATTGGTGAAGGTCTCCTGTAAGAAGCTTGGAAGTCTGAGCTCCTGCTTTGTCTAATACCCAGAACCAACAAGAGAGTGCAGAAAAATGGAAAATCAGGAAACGTTCCAGAACAACAAACAAAAAAGATAAATTTCCAGAATGGTCCCTAATGATTACCAGATGAAGAATTTCTTAACTCTCATAAAAATACTCACCAAGGTCAAGAGTACAATTTATGAGCAAAATGAGGGTTTGGACAAAAAAGATCTTTAAAAATTTAAATGCCAAAAAGAAAACATAAGAACTGAATAACCTAATAACTGAAAAATATAATAGCTAAAGAACATAAAACTGTAACTAACTACAAATGTTTCAACAGCAGACTAAACAGAAGAAAGGATGAGAAAACTCAAGCACCAGTCACTGGAAATAACTCAATCAGAGAAGCAAAATAAGAAATGAAAAAGATGGAAGACAGCTTTAGGAATTATGAAGAACCATCAAGAGGACCAATATACACACTATGGAAGCCCAAAAAAAGAGAAAAGAGAGAAGAAATAAGAGCTGAAAGCTCCTAAAATCTGGAGAAGGAACAGACTCCTAGATCCAAGAAACCAACACAAAGCCAAATAAAATGAACCAAAGAGATCAACTATAGTTTGGAATAGTTATAACCAAACTATCAAAAGTCAAAAAGGAGACAATTTTAAAGCAGTTCTAAAGAACAAACATATATCCAGGATACATAAAATACTCTTACAACTCAATGATAAAAAGAACTAACAATCCATTTTAAAATGGGCAAAAAACTTGAAGACATTCTTGTGAAAATATACAAATGGGCAATAATTTAGGAAAACAATCATATCTGCCAACTGATGAATGGATAAAGAAAATCCATTCAGTGGATTATTATTCCACAATAAAATGAAGTACTAATACATGCCACACAAGAATAGTTTTTGCAAAAATAAAGAAGCTAATCACACATTGTTTGATTCCATTTATGTGATCTATCCATAATGGGAAAATCCATAGCAATAGAAACTAAATTAATAGTTGCTCAAATACACATGAAATGTTCCCGGTAATAGGTATCCTAGATCATAAACTGAACTGTAACCAATTTAATGAATTAAAGTCATACACAATTTTTTTTTTTACTTTTTTGGAGAGTTTAAGGGAATTAAACTAAATGTCAATAATGGAAGGATAACAAGAAAATCTGTAAACAATTAGCTTTTAGCCATATCTGTAACAATCTATGTAAGAAACACAAATAATACCCAAAAAGAAGCTTGACATCATTATCCATAGGAAAATACAAACAAAAACCAAGAACGAAAACCACAACACATCTATTAAAAGAAATAAAATTTAAAATACTGTCAACACCAAAAGCTGGCAGGATGTTGAGCAACTGAAAGTCTCACACGTGGCTGAATGGACTGCACAATGGTGCCACTCTAGAAAACGGCCCAAAAGTTTCATTTAAAGTTAACATACACTTGCCATATGACCTGAGAATCTACTCCCAGCACAGTTCTTCTAGAGAAATAAAAATATATTGTCACCCCAAAACCTTCACGTAAATACTTACAGTTCAATTAATAATTGCTCAAAACTGGATAGCACTATGTGGAATGACACTCATCCACTGGAGGTCTGGACTCTATAACTATGTGGCCCCACAGCCAGAGCTCAGGGAAGTATAGGATGCCCAGCTGGACCAGAGGCTGCTGACCGGCCAAAAGACCCTGGGCTTTATCAGTCCTTTGGTGGCGGCAGATCTGGTGGGGATCACTCGTACATAATGCCTTAAGTAAACTGATATGTTTCTGGAAGGACATCCTTGACATTGCTCACAGAGGTTGCAGCTAGAGAGACTGACTTTTCAAATATCACAGTATTTATCTATTCAAAATTCTACATAAACAAAAAGTTGACAATAACTGCTCAAAACTGGACACAACTAAAATGGCCTTCAATGAATGAATGCACAAAACACACTGTTGCATTCATACTTTGGAACACAGCTCAACAATAAAGAAAGATTACTGTTCCCTGTGGAGCTTGAAGGGATCATGAAAGCATCACATTGAGTAAAAAAAGCCAACCTCAAAAGATCACCTACTACAGGATTCTTTTTATATAGCATTCTCAAAAAGATAAAACTACAGTGATAGAGAAAGGATCTCTGGTTAGCAGTTTGAAGGGCAGGGCAGGCTACAGTGGGCTTGCACAAAGGAGTTTTCAGGACGCTTGTACCTTGACTGTGGGGATGGCTACACAAATATGTATATGTGTAACATTTTATATGGAAGAACAAAAGGCCAAGAATAGCCTAACTCCTTGGAAGACAGAGCTATCAAGACTCATTCTGTAACAATAGTGATATTGGCCTATTGATTTACGGAAAAATAAATGACTAAAATAGAAAAGCCACAGTCAAGAAATATGATCATAAATATATGCAAATATAGTACCTCACTTAAGCTTATCTACAAGTTAGGGGAAAAACTGGAATATTATGTTAATGGTAGATAGGGTGAGGAAGGCAGGGGAATAAGGCCCACGAAGGGCACACAGAGAATTTCAGCCATATCTATAATGTTTTATCATCATTTCTTTTAAAAAGGATAGCTAGGTATGGTCATTCATGCCTATAATTCCAGCACTCTGGGAGGCTGAGGCAGGAGGATCTCAAATTCAGCCTAGTCTGGGCAACTTAGCAAGATGCTGTCTCAAAAAATAAAAAGAGCCGGACATGTCCCTTGGTGTTGAGACCCTAAATTCAATCCCCAGTACAAGGATAAATACATACATATATACATTGCTATGGTTTGTTTCTGGATGTCCCCCCAAAGCCTCATGCAGTCATGGGGGCAGGCTTCCAGAGTTTGTGACTGATTCATGGTCCAATGCTGGGATTATAGGTGTGAGTGCTATACCCTCCCTACGGTGGGTAATTTACATACAATATAAGGGACAAAGAGTCTTCTCTCACATTCCTCCCTTTCTGCTCTTATTGCTTTCCACTGCCATGAACTGTTGCCCTCTGCCATATCCACTCTAACTGGGAGCCAGCTGAATACGAACTGAAACCTCCACTAACTGTGAGCTAAATAAACCTTACCCTCTTTAATTTTGGGAATTAGGTATTTTGTCTCAGCAACTAGAGAAAAGTAACTAAGACATACATATATAGTGACATATGCCTACACAAGTAGGAACACAAGAGGAGAAGAATCTTAAAGAAATGTGGCCAAATGTTACAATTCGTTAAAACTAGATGCTATAATTATGTATCATATTTTATACTATATTATATTATATTCTCTGGCCTATGAATCCAACACTGTAGTCATAAGCCACATATAGCTATCAAAATTATTTGAAATTGAACACAATTTAAAATTCAGTTCAAGGGCCCAGTGGCCACAGGTGACCAGTGGCCACTGAACTGTGCAGTGTAGATGTTATATGTTCGCTCATCACAAGTTCTATTGGACAGAACTGTTCTATACTTTTTCATGTGTTAAAACCACCAAGGAAGAATCAAGGCCTACAATGCACATTATGAGTGAAGGGAGAGAAGGAAGGTGCTATGGCCTGCATCTAGATGTCTCTTGGAGCTTCACGCAGTCACTGTGGGAGAGCTTTTTTGGAGGTGGGGTATGATGCTGGGATTAAGGATGTGTGATAACTAAATGGGTTTAGCGTAGTTCTGCATGTGGATAATGGAGGCCTCAGCCTGGCTGTGGGTGGCACCAATCACTAGGGCTATAGGCTGGATGGAATATAAAGGGAGTGAGGAAAGGCAGGCTGGCTGCTGCTGTTTCTGCTTCCTGCCTGGCTTGCTATGCACTGTTTCTCCTCTGTGATGCCTTCTGCCATGCCCCTCTGCCTTGGAGCCCCGACTATGGACTGAAACCTATAAACTGTGAGCTAAGTAAAGCTTTCCTCCTTTAACTTAGGGAGTTGGGTATTTTGTCTCAGCAATAAGAAAAGTAACAAAGACAGAAGGTAAGTACAAAGGACACCATACAACTCCAAGATTAGAACTCTTTCTTTTCTGATTGGATTGTCAAACTGTTAACTCTTCGCAGTAATTTCCCAAAACAAAAAGGAAACAAGCTTTTTGTTGCCTGTCCTACACTTTCACTTTAGAATTTTTTTTTTTTAATTGGTACTGGGGATCCAACTTACGACCACCTGCTTGCAAGACAGGTGCTTATGCCGCTGAGCTAAATCCCCAGCCAACACTTTAGAATATTTTTAACATTAGGTGGCACAAAGACATTTGTTTACTTTAATCTGAGTGTGAAAGCTCTCTCTGCAGCTACCCTCAGAAATGAAATGTTTTCGAACCTTTGGCTTTGATGACCATGATCCTTTGCTGCAGGTTGATGAAAGGCTGGATCAAACAGAGTCTTGGCTCCTGCTTCTGACTCAGGCAAATGCCATTGTGGTTCACAACCATCCAGCTCCTGTCATACAGCAGCCCTTGGTTTCCTACGGGCCACCTGGTCACCTAAACAAAAGATAGTATTTTAGGTTAGAGCTCGTCAAAAATGCACTTCATGTTTTCACACAGGGGTGCACACATGCAGGTGGATGCCATGAACGCAGCATATACTCCTGGAGGAAGAAGGGGAGGAAAAGAAAGCAAAACAAAGAGGGCAATGCAAGGATACAATGGTGTGGAAGTGAGATACCTTCCATGCAGCCTCCAGAGCCGGTCCCCAACCCCGTCCACCTCAGCCTGTTCTGAGTTGGTAAGGTACATTCATGCACAAAATGCCAAGAGTACAAGAGTGTATTCTGTCCTACCCCATCTCCAGAACCCTTCCCCTCAAGAGCCCATGGCTCTTGCTTTTCGTGCACCCTTCTTCTATGGTGGGTGATGTCCAGGAACCTCCTAACTTTATAGATATGGTTCTCATTACAAACTGTGGCTATTCTGGGAAGCTGAGTTGATCTACTTTAAGTTTGTGAGTTTTCCTGAATTCTTCCTATTTCTACAAAATAAAAATACAAATTATACCCAGTACCTAGATCCTGATTTTTAATACCATTGTCCAAGAAAAAGAACTCCTTGGACTCCTTGGAGAAGTGGTTGATTCTAGGGCTGGATCAGGATAATTTGGAAAAATGAATGTCAAGACTCATTCTGCAGCTCTAGTGTAATCAGCTTACTGATTCAAGGAAAATTACACCCTTACGAAGCTCAGCCTCCTCACCTGTATGCCTGCTGTGCCTTCTTCATGTTTGTGCTACAAAATGCACACCAGCTTTGAAGGCAGAGTCCTGTATAGAGTCCTCACCTGCCTCTGTTCAGGAGCGGGGATGAAGTCTTGGCTTACGGTCTCGGCCTGGAGGCCACACTCCTTTGGGAACACCCTAAAATGCAGGCCAAAGAATAGCCCCAACCTTGGTACATCTGATGAGGAGCTGAAAAACCTGTCATGCCAGAGACTCAGGAGTCTAGGACTTGGGACACATAGAAAGATTATAGAAATACAGTCTCAGTTTGGCCACAGCAGGGGACACAGCCTTTTGGAGATGAGGGCTAGCTGCCAGCCAAAGCCTCCAGGTATAAGGACCACTTGGCCAGCCCATTTGCAGATGTAGTGCATGTTGTCCTGCGGGTTCCAGGATCCCCTCGAGATACTGAAATCTTACACCAGACAGTGTAGTATGTGTGTGTAACCTGTGCACATCTAGTTTCCGTCTCTAGATTATGTTTATACCTAATGCAATGTAAACACTATATAAGTAGTTATTAATACTGTACTATTTAGGGACCAATGGCAAGAAGAAAAGGTGTGTATTCATCCAGTATAGTGTATTTTTTAAAATATTTTGGATCTGTGGTTGGTTGAATCAGTGGATGCAGAACCTGTGTATAGAACTGACTATAGTTTGGTACCACAGGGAAAACTGAGCAGAGCAAATCACACAAAACAAAGACCTAAGGATAAGCAGATCCAGGTTCAAATCCTTGCTCTGTCGTCTATCAGCAAGTGATGCAGGCAAAGTGCTTAACTTTAACTTAGGGATCCACACCTGAGGATGATGCTGCCATGCTCCTTACGTGATTGCTTTAAGTATCAAATGCAGGAAGCATCAAATGTTTCAGCAAGGTGCCAGCACATACATTCAAGGAAACACAGCTATGGTGATTACCAGCAGTGAGGTGTTCACCACTCAAAAATGGAGGCTCTGAGGGGTCCCTGTAAGCAGAGTTCCATTCAAAAGCCAGCCTACATTACGCGCCCAATAAAGAAGGCAAAATGAGAATGAGTTTTTCACACCCACAGCACTCTCATTGCATGCTTTGGGTCTTGCATGCTTTTTTCACTTTCTATATCCTTTCTTCAGTTTATTTAGGAAAAAACAAACTTTATAGAAAATCTAAAGAGAGGCAGTTTTTGTGCAAAGAGAAGGCCCCTACCTCAAATGCAGCACAGGACTTGATGGGATAGAGGTAAAGGTTGGTGACACTGTGTGGCCCAAGGTCCCCAGGCAGGATGCCTGCAGCTTCCTCTGTAGGAGTCTGCTGGGTGTTGGTGGTCTTGCTCAGAGTGGGGCACAAACTCATGGTATTCATAGTGGAGCTGGAGTTGTTCCAAACCCCAGAGTCCATGCCTTTCTGAAGTGAGATACAATCTCTTCCAGCGGCAGTGAGCATGTCCTGCACTTTCCCCTCTGCAGATGGGGTTCTGGCCTCCTCAGTGCTAGCCTGAGGGACATGCTGGTCACCTGGTGAGCCCAGGCGAGTGGCTATGATGAACCTGAGAAATGCTTGGGCATCCTCAAATGTGGACATGTACCCGAAGGAAATCCTCACAGAGCCGGTGGGCTGCCCATCTACAAGGTCAATATTGTCTCCACAGACATGACCAGCCTGAAATAAAAAGGAAATAAATCAACCGGAGGGCTCATACACCATGACTGGAAACAGTTTTGTAAAACAAATTTGATAATTTTTAAATTAACCCAGGAGATCAGATTGCAACACTAATATGCGCTGTGCTGCTGAGACACAGCTCTGAACACACAGGGCCCTCTCCCCGGATCTCGCTCTGCACAGCTGTGAACTAAAGCTGATACCAATCTCAAGGAGCCATGGAGAGCTGAAGAGAAATGCTTCAGGAGAACATTCACCCAGAGCTGCCGCACCGCTGACCCACAGAGGGGTCGGGAGATGAGCCAAAGTTTCAGACCTGCTGAGAGGTTGACTTTGTAGTCTACCAGGACTGAGGCCCAAGAAACACTTGCTGGCCACCCGAGACTATCGGCCTCTCTAGGACTGAAGGGAACCTGCGACCTGAGAATGGCCCCCAGGAGGTGGAAAGGGCAGAGGTGGCGGCCAAGGCCACTGTAAAGGCCTGTGTCAACTTGATTGTCCCTCCCAGGATAGGGAGGAGAGGCAGGAGGAGGTCATCCCCAAGTCCCGCTGCCTGATGATCGGTGTGACCATTACGCTGCCTGGGACACCACACCAGTGAGTCCAGCCGGTCACCCAGAGATGTGGCGATGGCATCCTACAGGGGCACGGCTGTGTCAGGAACTGCATCTGTTTATGTTCTGATCCTCTGCCACCCTCTCTGCCCCACCCATTCCCTCCCTCTCCTCCCGCTCCTCTCTCTCTCTCTGTTTCAATATTCAGAGCAACCAACAGAAACTCAAATTATAAATTATTTCAAAATAAATCAGGGCACTTTGCCACTCAAAATATTCTTATGAAATAGTTCAAAACAAACTGTACCCTAGAGTAAAAATCCTCAGCCTTGAGGATAGACAGGAAGGGTGGGGATTCTTGGATACACAAAATCTTTAAAACTGTGGAAGAATTCTACTGTACCCCCAACCCGAAGGTGACGAAACCAGACTAAAGAGTGTGTACTAGTATATCCCCTGTTAACAGCCCTCTCTGACTTTACATTTTTGCCCTGCAAGTAAAAAACGAACCAAAAAGCACTGCCATGAAAATGATATTTTAATGCCAAGAATGATGGTACGTGCCTTGTAATCCCAGCACTCGGGAGGCTGAAGCAGGAGGATTGAAGTGAGATCAAGGCCTACCTGGGCTATATAGTCAATTCAGCCAGACATGGCTTGAGAAAGTGGTGGGTGGCCCAGGGGGAGAACCAGCCAGTGTTTCTCGAGACCCTACCATCTTGGAACTTAGGGCGCTGGGAAAGAAAGTAACCCGCTCACCCCCTTGATAAGCAGCAAATGGGAGCCAGAGGTCTGAGCATCTCTTGGGAGGTTGACTGTATGCAATATAGCAAATAGGGGGGATTTCCTTCTAACATCTCTTTGAAAGCAATATTGTTATCACTGTTTTGCTTTGTTCTAACTAATTATATTGCTTTATTCAATATTCTGTTTTGATAAGTTCTATAACATTCTGTATTTGGTTTGATTTTGCTATACTTCATTGAAAGGACAACTACTGTGAAGATAACGAGATACACTATGGCATCTATTACTGTTATCCCAGTAACGTGCCATGACGTTCTGTACCAATTTCACTGCACTGTCTCAACTGGCTTTTGTTCTGTCTGGTTCTGTTGTATTTTACTACCTTCAAAATAAATTTTAAAAGGGAGGGGAAAAAAGAACAGCCAGAACTACATAGTGAGACTCTATCTTTTAAAAAAAAGGCAAGAAATAGTATCTTAAAATATTTTCTGTTGGGTTTTTTTGTTTTGTTTTGCTTTGTTTTTTAACCAGGACTCAAACTCAGAGCCTTGCTACTGTGCTACATCTGAGGCCCAAAATATTTTCCGTTCTTGATGACTCACTTTTTTCTTTGTACAGTCACAGAAAAGTCCCAAGAAATAAGCCCAAATGGCCAGCCCCTACCAGACAGGTGACCAGCCACAAGTGTAACCACCATGATTCCCAATGCTTGGGCCTCAGGGTCCTGTACTGACCTCAAAATACTTCTTGACCATCTCGTTGCTTATGCCCAGATGCCGCTGGCAGGCCCCTGTGTTACAGAAGCAGCCAGTTCGCAGGTGGATGTTGTACAGGCTGGCCATTTTGTCCACCTGTGGATCAAATATGATATTTTCAGATATCCCGCTTTACTCTGCTGGCCTGGGAGAGTTTCAGACCAGTGTCCTAACAATAAAACGATACCTGGGACGGGGGTTTAGTTCAAGAGCATAAGTGCCTACTTGGCAAACTCGAGGTTTTGAGTTCGATCCCCGGCACCAAAAAAGAAAAGATAATCTGAGCTTGGAAGTTTGCTCTAAGATGTATGCTCTATGGTGGGTTTACTAAACATTTTATAAAATATTACAGGAATTTAAAGCATCTCCAGCTGAATTGTAGAAGTATGCTTGAGAAAAGTGAAAATATCAAACAGGCTAAATCCTAAGAACTCACATTTCCAGTGAGGGCCACGAGAATAACTCAGTGGCGTTGGGGACTTGAGCAGCTCCTCAGCATCGGCTGCAGAGTCTGACAGCCCCAGCAAGGCACTGCATCACCTGGGCTCCCAGCCTGGCCCACAAGGGTCACCACCAACACCTGGTGATATCTATTTCCTGTTCCTAATTTCTCCAACTTCTGGTACATTCAGAATTGCTGCTCAGTGCAGAAGTTCCCAAGGCTCTTTCCTGCCCTCTGGAGGCTCAGGAATGTCATTCATATTGCCTGGAGCCCCCAGGATAATAGGTTCATCCTGAACCTTGGCTGTAGGTTGAGAACTCCACTCCCTCAGGGCCACAGAGCCTGGAGTAGATTCTCAGTCCACATGGCTCAGGCTGAAGTCAGGGAGGAGTCACCCACCTGCAGCTGGGGAAATGAATACATTGTGCCCAGATGGCTAAGCCCTTGAACTCATATGTGGCATGGCCAGAGGCAGCCACATGGAAGCATGGTGTGCCTTGTAGTCCGCCAGCCACCACGCTGGACTGAGCTGTCAGCTGGGCAAGGGGACCTCCCACAGAACCTTGTTAAGACCATAGTTGTCCTCACTGTGGCCGACTCCCTGGTCTATTAGAATAAAAAGAAATAACCTCCTGGCTGAACCAGGAGCCTTAGAAAAACAACTCTTCCTTCATCCTTAGCTAACAATCCAGTGGCGTAAAAACCTGTCAGTGGAATCCAAGAGGTCCCTAGCCCTGGGTGAAAGAACTCAGCAGCATCACTGGACAAGTCTATCTTCAGATTTTGGTCTCTACTCACAGGCCAGCTCCTAGGGAAATCCTCAGTCCCTAACAGAAAGGACAGAAGTTCCCCATGACCATTTTTCAACCCCCAAACTCACGGTCCTGGTTACCACTGCTGCAAAATGGTCAGCTAAACTTGGAAGAATAAGACCACTGTAGTATGCCACAGTGGGTTAGAAATTTAGGCTGCACACAGGAGAGATGGTCTGTCTCTGTTCCATTGTATCTTGAGTCCAAGTCAGAAAGATTCAAAAACTAAGAGCATTCTTTGAATTAATCATGAACAGAATTCTGTGGGCTATTTCTGCTTCTCATAGAAAAGGAGATCTGCCACGAATGATGTTACAACGTGGTGATATGCAATCAGATGCCAAGCTGTCTGTAACAAAATGACTTCAGCTGTGGTTCTGTCCACAGTACTTTTCTGTCTTCTCGTGATGGCAAGCTATCACCTGTTCCACTGGTAACAAAAGAATCAGCCTCTCTCTTCCAATTTAAAATTTCCTACTTTACCTGAGTAAAAAGGGCTTGAAAAATCCACAGCCTGGCTTGCTAGAACTGGATGATTGAGAGATAAAGACTTGGAGAGCAAGGGTTGGGGCTCCCCAGAAGTATCTGCACTTCATCCCAGCTATTTCCAGGGGTATAGAGGCCTCCACTGCAAATTTCAAGGCTCAGTAAAATTTTCAAATTCCAGAAAAGAGCAATTCTGTTCATCTGTAAGAAAAGCAAACCTACCTCGGAGTAACCAATGATGTTCCCGCTGTCATCCAGCACATTAAAATTGATGATTGGACCCTGAACTTCAGGGCTGCTGAACTCAGAGTCACTGTAAATCTGCACCACTGGGGCTCCATTTGAGTAGCGAAGAGATGACAGGGTGGCATAGGTGTACCGAGCCAGTGTGAAGGTGTGCTGTGCAATATTCTCCATGCCACCTCAATGCCAAGCAGAAAAGCAGAGTCATGAACCTCACAGGAAAGTCATTCTCACATTTGTAAGGAAACAAGATCACTACAGCTGGTCAACCTGGACCACACATTGATGATTTTAAGTGTTCGTGTAAATGGTACAGAATTGCCTGTATGATAAAGGTTTAAGTCTTTGGTACTGAAAAATAGTTTAGGCAGAATTTTTCTATAGGAATTCTTGTCATTCTCTTTTTTAAATATATGTGTGTATATCTATATAGTACTACTTAAAATTCAGATGATTTAGACCCTTTGATAGCAGATGGCAAAAATATACAATTTTATTATTAAAATATTTTTGCACTTTGTTTTTATTAATGTTTAAATCACTTTATACAATTAAAGAATTAAACAATTAAGAATACATGTTTAACAAGTATGAATCTTGAAAATACTATGCTAAATGAAATAAACTAGACACAAAAGGACACACGCTGAATTATTCCTTTATATAAGGTATCTGGAACAGCAAGGCAAAAGGTGTATCTTATCAGTGGTCACCAGAGGTTAGGGAGAAGAAGAATTAAGAAGCTAGTTTAGCAGGTAGAATTTCAGCTTAAGATGATGAAAACATTTTGGATGGAAAACATTTTGGTCAGTTGCACAACCATGTGTACCTAAAACCACTGAATTGTGCATTTACTAATTTCATTATATATATATATTTTTTACCACAGTTTTTTTTTAAAGCAACTTAATAGGAAAAAAATCAAGGTTTGCTATAATGTGGACCAGGATTGTCAACCTGTGCTTTCATAGGTGCCCCAAGTCCTGTTAGATGCTGCCACCTGTGGTTGGGGGTGGAAGGTTCTGCTAACATACTTCTTGGAAGAGGCTTGTTTTTCAGGGCTTGTCTGACCACCTTCTCCCTCTGTCTTGGACAATGCCCACTTACCGCCCTGCTTCACTATCAGGGTGACCCTCCTGTCCATGAATCCCTCTGCCCCAGTCCTGGGCAGAGGTTGAGAACCTGAAGAGTCCGTTATTGTAAAATAGAGAGGAAAGACTGCCTAACCAGTAAGCCTCACCCCTGCCTCACCACAACCCTGGCCCGAATGGCCAGCACCACTCAGTTCTCAGAGCTCAGCTCCAGAAGGAAGCTCAGCCCACAAGCACAGCACCACAGATCATGCCTGGCTCACCAGTCAGGCTGTTCCTATTGTGTTCTTCTGTGTCCATCTCCGGAAGATGGGACGTGTTATCTGCCTCCAGTGGGTGCTCCCCAATTATCCATGTCCAAAGCACAAATCAGGAAAGAAACTGCACTCATGCAAAGGCCAGTGACAGAAATAGTGGCCAGGAGCTTGGAGTTAGGCATTAGTCAGCCTGGGTTTAAATCCTAGCCTTCCTAGCTACCAGCTCCCTGAGCCACTACTCCGTTGAGGGCACAATGGACTTAACACCAGCTCCTCAATATGGCTTTAGATCCAGCAAGGGGAGAACTGAGTAAACCCCTGGGATTACCATTCCCTGTTCAGATACCATCCAGTGCACCCCCACAGCTACTACGCTTCTGATTCAGAATGTCTCCTACCAGTTAATTCTTTTAACTGACGAGCAACAGAAAACTCCCCAATACCTTCTTTGTTTCCTTGCTCTGAGAAGTCACATTGAAGATAATTGGAATCAGATTTAACTGCATCCCACGCCCAGTTACTACTGGTATGTGCCACTTACTCCCCTGCACAAACATCATCTCCTTTAGAACCACACCATTACCAGGACTCTCCAGGACACAGCTCATGAGAGCCAATTCCACATGGGTAAGAAGGTCCACTGACCTGTGAGGCGCTCCAGGGCATCAAATCCATGCTTTAATGCTATCACATCAAGGTATGAGATGGTGCCGTCTTCAAACCTGCAGTGTGGGGGCAGTGGAACAAGGTCAAGCTGTGGTCAGCACACTGCAAGTGCACTGTGTGGTATGTAAGGCCCATCTGATGTCAGGAGAGTGGCACCTTCCAGTAGGCACCCTCTACATTGTGTGAGAACCACTGCGCTTGCGCGCTCTCTCTCTTTCTCTTTCTCTCTCTCTCTCTCTCTCTCTCTCTCTCTCTCTCTCTCTCTCTCTCTCTCTATCTCTCAATCTCTGTCTCTCAGAAGACCCGCCTGGCTGCGTATGGTCTTGACCAGCTCTGCAGCTTTCCAGAACTACTTCAGACTTCCAAGGTAGAATGGCAGGGTGATAGAGAGCCACAGACACACACACACACACACACACACAAAGTTATCACTTTGAACCGCTTTGACAAAACAAGAGACTGCTTTGCTATCTAAGGAAGGATTTGGATTTAAAGCCTAGTGCTATAGGCTCTCGAAATACTGCTCTCTAACCACAAGAGGGCACCACTAACAGGACATCAATTCACAGCGATCAGCAAAGCAGCTATGAAGTTCTAACCAAAAGGTCCTCGGCGGTGATTTTGGTTAAAATGACACTGCCTTCATTAATATCGCAGATGCACACCTTCCTGATTGTCACAGTGTTATTTCTGCATTTCGTGCTTATTCGTTTCATTAGACTTACATCAAGTCTTTGTTGTCCACCTACTGTGGGTCAGGCACTGTCCTAGGTACTAAGGGTTCAGCAGAGAAGGAGATAGACAAAATCCCTGGCCTCATAGCCTTACATTCTATGAAACAAGGAATAAAACCCAGCAAAAAGACATGGAGAAACCAGGCAAGCAACATGCCAGAGTCTAATAAGTCCAATGAAGATGCATAAGTAGAGAGCAGCTGGTCGAGATGAGTCTGCTCTGAGGAAAATCATGTAAGCAGGGAGGGCAGGAGCAAGGGAAAGAACTAATGTTCACCAGGGCGGGGATGACAGTTACCGGGATGACTGTGGGGAGAGAGGGCGCAGCCAAGGCCCTGGGCAGCAGAAGCCTGGTACAACTCGGAGACAGCAGATCAGGGACTGGGACTGGATCTGAGCGAGCCAGGGGACTGAGGCAGGAGACAGACAGAAGTAGAGGTGGCGTGAAACTCCAAGTGCTGGAAGGCTCCACACAGAGGAGTGAGGATTCAAGGCGTCCTGGCTTTCAAGGAGGCCCCTGGGGAAGGACAGAACTCGGGTAATGGGGCGGGGGGGATGATGAGCAACCGCTGCCTTAGGCCAGTAAAGGCTTTCAATGGAAACATGGTACTTTGTATTTAACACTCTAGAAATAATCTGTGCTTAAAACACTGTCACTGCAATGCTAATTTCTTTAGAGAACTAATCCACACAAGTTGTGTAAAGATTATGAAAACATATACAAAACAAAGAAGGGAATTGGGAGATGGGTGGAGGGGAAAGGGACGGAAGGGAAAGAGATAAAAAAAAAAAAGAATTAAGATGTATTCTGTGTATGTACCAATGCCCCACAAGAGATGTAAAAATTATGTGCTGCAAACACGATGTACACTATTGGTGTGAATGTAACCTAGTACGACCATTATGGAAATCAGTATGGGAATTCCTCAAAACACTAAAGTTAGAAGTTCCATGTGACCCAGCTATTCTTCTTCTGTGTATTTTCTCCCCAAAGCATTAAAGACATCATACTATAGCAATATATATACATGCATGCCAATGTTCATAACAACACAATTAATAATAGCTAAATCCTGGAAGCAGCCTGTATGCCCATCAGTAGATGAATGGATAAAGAAAATGTGGTGTTTATGGGAACACTACTCAGTTACAAAGAGGGATAAATTTGAGACATTTGTGGGAAAATGGATGCACCTGGAAAATACAATGAGTAACGTAACTCAGACATACAAGCTTAAATACTGAATGGTATCTCTCACATGAGGACAGAAAGGTGCAAAGAGCACAACAAAGGATGGATAGGAGACATCGGGATAGACCTCTTGCAAATGAAAAGGAGTTTAGGAGACCAAGGTTAAGGAGAGAGGGGGAGACAAAGGGGAAGAAAGAAGAATTAAGACACTCTATGTAGAGGCATCAAATACCACAATGAATACAAACATTGTAAGTCATAAACATGAGCTAGGAATAATAACAAGAATGAAAATGGGGAAAGAGATATAGAGATGGAGGGAGGGAGGTGGATGGGAAGGGAATTTAAAAAAAGAATCAAGATGAATATAAACTTCATGTGCTGCAAATATATATTGATACAATTAAAAGGAAATGTACTAATAAAGAAAATGATCTGAAAAAATAAGCAAAAACTAATGGCAATATACCTAAAACTCATGATTAATCATGAATCAATTACTAATTGATGAATCACAAGTTAGTAAATAATCACTAATAAACTAAACATTAATTAATAATGACTTAAGTCATTAGTTGATCATCAATAAATAGTGTATTAATTAATAATTTAAATTCTTCCTTAGAATAAGAGAGGAAAGCCTTTTGTTTCCATCAAGGGTTGTATTTCATTGAATTACAAAATACAAAAGGTGAAGAGTATGGTTTTGGTTCAATAAGCATTTGGGTTGAGTACTATATATTGACTTCTAGTCTGAAGTTTGTAAGAAAAAAGTAATACTTATAATGCCAAATGAGGGCCAGGGATATAGTTGAGTGGCACAGCACCTGTTTGGCAAACTTAAGGTCCTGAGTTCGATTCCCAGAACCCACACAAAATGGCAAATGAATATGTTCTGCTTTCTGAGAGTCTTCAGGAGGTATGTGCTGTATGTAAAGTAATCCACCCAAATCAAAGCAAAGAGGTCCGGCCCGGCCCGGCCCAGCCCAGCCCACCCATACTCTGGCCCATAGCAAGCTGGCCTTTCCTTGCACTCAGGGTCCTATGGCCATGTTAAATTTGTAGTTTCTCTTTATTTTGCCTTTGATTTACATTATGTTTGCCAGTCATTCATTTCTTGCTTGGTTCTATGACATGTTAAATTATCATACATGGATTTAAAGATTTCACATTAGTATTCCTGCTTTAGAATCCCCGAACAATGGAAATGTCCTTTAAATAAAAAAGACTGTAAAGTGTCTCATAACACGTATCAATGCCCTCTCTCCCCTGGTGCTTCACCCACATTAGCTGTAAAGGGATAGTACCATCACCCCCAGGCTACAGGAAAAACATAAGGTACAGAGATCAAGCCATGTGTCCCCCAGCTGCTGACCCACCCCCTCAGTAGCCCAGCTGCAGGCCAACAGCCAACCCTGACTCTACCACTGAGGTGTGGCTCTGTCTGCAGGATCCAGAGGCTGCACCCCGGTATGTGGCAGACTAAGCCACCTTACCCTCAGCCCCAGGCCTTTGCTGGCACCAGCAAGGTGATTAGTTCCCTACTTTGACCTCATGGTGGCCCCTACTGCTGAATTCAGTAGAAGTCCAGGTCAGTGACCATTTCATCTGCCACACGTATTCAAAGTGATGGTGCTGCCACCACCACATTGGAGAGTCCTCACCATAACCCATACCAGCGTCCTTGCAGCCTGTGGAAAGGATAGGCCAGTGGGCAAACCTTTCAGACAGGAGTGTCCAAACTGCAACCCAAAACCCACTTATTTACTGCAAAGTGCCAGCACTGTAATTAAACCTAAATACTGTGGTTTTAGTTTAGAAAACACTCATACGCTTGGCCCACATGCCAACAGACAGGGCTCTGTGTGCCCGCTATGGCATGTGTGAGACAGTTTCACCACCAATGGCAGAGACCAAGGAAGCCATCAAGGCCCCCCACCTGTTTGAGGATGGCCTGCCCTCACCTTCCCGTGGATGCTGCCCCCCATCCCTGGAGGCCTCTGATCCTGCTGAGCCTTCCTGCTAAGAGGCCAAGCAGAGCTGGCTCCAGCTGGTGGAGAATGAGGGTGCTGCCACTGAGTCCTTAGCAATTACTGCCACCATTGTGAGTGCTGTGGGGTCAAGTTCAGTGCCACATGGCGACAGAGACCACTGAGCTGCCTGTGGCATGCTCCAAACAACCTCTGCATCCCAGATTTGAGTCCTGCTGCCAATCCATCCCTACCAGCAGTGATCAGCACCCCTAACTCTGTGGCTTAGACACACCTTGCATAATCCCATAGGTGACACATGCCAACCTGCTTTGGAGAGCTGTACCAGCCACCCCCAAGGCAAAGTTACCTTTCAGCCACCGAAGGCCTCGAGACGTAAAAGTCTTCTCCCGCAAGGTAGGCAGCGGCGGTCCCACCTCCAAAGTAGCTTTTCCTCAGTAATGGAGCCACGCGATTATTGATCAGCAGAGCACCCAAACCAGTGGGGAATCCGAAGATCTTGTAGAAGGAGATGGGGACAAAGTCTGCCTGGTGAGCCGACAGGTCCAAAGGGGAGGTGCTCACGTAAGAGGCTGCATCCAGCAACACGAACCACTTCCCAGGCACATCCACAGGGCCCAGCCGCCCAGACTTGACCTGCTCTATCCAGGAGAGGGGATATCTAGTTCCCGAAAAGTTACTTTGGGCTGGGTAACAGAAGAGGTGTGGAAGCTGGCAGTCAGGGTCACAGGCCACAGCACCCCGTTCCTCGGCTGCCCGCATGTCCTCCGGGCTGACTGCAGTGGATGTGATGTCCATGGCCTCGGCAACCTTCCTCATGCCTACCACAGAGGTGTGGTTGTCAGTGAGGTAACAGAACTGACTCTTGCTGTTCTCTGGGCCTCTGGACACCCAAGGAAAGGCTTCTGCCACCAGTTTGAGGGCAGCTGTGCTCCCGGATGTGAAAACCATGCTATAGTCCTCGGGCGTGGTGTGAAAGTGTGCCAGAACCCTGGAAGAAGCAGAGAGTCAGGTGGTGTCAGGGCCTCCACACTGTCTGGAGGTTATTTCTACAAAGTAGAACATGGTTCTGCCACAGCTGTGAAGTTAGGACTCAGGCAGTGGATGGCACTGGAGATTAATCCATTCCCAATGCAACACACCGAAACCCACAGTGAACTTGGTGTTGGCCGAATACACCTTCTCCTTTGATGTGTCTCCTTTCAGGTCCACCACAAATTTTCAATCATCAACCTGTTTCACACCCCTTTTAATCTTGGCAATCCTATCACCAAACTGTTATTTCAAATCTGAAATAACTTGAAGTTGTATTACACATGTAGCTTTAGGTACCACCTGGAAATTAGTTACCAGGAGCCAATTATTATATATTTAAAATTATAACAAGCTATTTAACAACTAGTTAAAAGAGATGGGTTGGTGGGTATCAGGTGTAGTGGCTCACACCCGAAATGCCTGCTATGAAGTGGCTGAGGAAGGAGGAACACAAGTTTAAGACCAGCCTGGACAATTTAGCAAGACCTTGTCTCAGAAATAAACACATAAATAAAGGAACAAACAAACAAACAAGGGGATATAAACAGACAGTGCTTTTTTTGTTTCTGAAAATAAGACCTTGGAACACAGATCATGCCTTGTGATCTCATTATTCCCTCAAGCCTACTTTAAACAACTGTGTAACTACACAGCCACCTACCTGGGCTTCTTGTCTACCCCATTTGGTACCTAATCTCACCTTTGTGTCCTCTGACTGATACTTATCATCATGTGTGCATTCCTTTAGAGATAAATGTGATCTTCCTGAAACCTACTCAGAATCTTTGTAGAGCATGGGCAGATGCTTAGAAGGAACACACATGTGGCCAGGGCAGGCAGGTGTCCCTGTCACTCACCTGTAACGCACCTGCTCCACAGTGTCATGGGTGAGCTTGCTTGAGATGCTCTGGCTGTGAGGATTACCTGGCAGGTCACAAAGATAAAACATTAGGGTCATTATTATGTTGTCTCCTCTGGTGTTCTTTCAAAATGCTCTCCCTCATTTCTCAAAAAGCTAAAGATAGAACTACCCCATAACCTAGCAATTCCACTCCTAGTTACCTACCTACCCAAAACAAATAAAAATATATGTTCATCCAAAGGCTTGTGTGCAAATGTTCACAGCAGCTCGAATATAAAGCCAAATTCCAGACACAATATAAATGCTCATGAACTGGGGAACAGATAGACAAAATACAGTATATTCACACAATGGACAATTATTTGGCAATAAAAAGGAACAAACTACTGGCTATGCCATAAACAAACTTCAAAACACACTAACTGACAGACTTAGAGGCTACAAGTGGTTGTGTGATTCCATTTAAATGAAATGCCCAGTTAGAGGCGGGGGTGGCAACGGGGTCTAACTGCAAATGGGCCTGAAGGACCTCGTGGGAGAAAGTGATTGACAGAGATGGTCGGCTCACTCAGTGAAAGTACTAAAAACACTGAATTCTATATTTGAAATAGGGGGATTTTAGGATATGTAAAATATAACTCAACAAAGCTGCTGGGGGGCCCGCTTTTCACTTATGAAATAAAATGGGGCCCAGCAAAAGGGGTTTAGAGCTGGAAGTTAGCTCAGAGGCAACCAGGCCAAGAGCCTTTTCTGTTAGTCCCCCTACAGGTGGCCAGAGGCTCTGCTTATTAACTCCAGAGAACCAGGACACAACCCCAGGATACAGAGCCATGAATCCCACTTACATAGCCCCCTCTTCTGCGCCACTATTCCCTCCATCGCTGCTGGAACTGTCCCTGTAGAAATGCACCCATCTCCCCCTCCAGACATGTGAAAGGAACAGATTCCTTGTCTTTCGACTCTAGAAACAAAAGGCTCCCCACCTCCCTGCTCTTTGGTGATGTCTATCCCCCCTGCACACACACACACACACACACGCACACGCACACACACTCTAATGTCCCCTTGTGCATCCCAAAGAATCCTACTCACTCTCCAAACTCAGTTCACAGACAAAAGCACAGAGCTCTGGCAAAGCCTGGCCTGGTATTTCTCATGCGCAGGGCCACGTGTGCTTGTTCCCACAGGCTTGGCTTTTTTTTACTTTAGTGTTTTCCCCTACCTCACCCTGAAGGGTCACACTGGGTTTCTGGTCCATGCAATTACCAGTAATTCATGTTTCACGTCACTAATAACCTATGAGACTTGATACTTGTCCTCATCACCTTCCCTCACCTGGGATCTTAGCCCTGTATCATCAGGACCAACTGAAACCCCAAGCAGCCACCTCTCGGGATAACAGCTTTACTATGGTTGTAGTTCCTATCAAGGTTACAGAAGGGGCATTGCAGGTCTCTCTGAAAATCACGGATTAAAGTCAAGATAAAGTTCCTAGTTGGCAGCTTCCCTGATGGTTTCCCCAGGTTCATTTTTTAAAACTTTTTATTAATACATATTTGTAGTATGTAGTGATGGATTATTTATTGTGGTGGATTGGTACAGAATAGATCTTAATTCTTTTTTATTTTCTTTTTCATCCTCCCACCCTGCTCCTTCCATCTGTTGATCTACTTCCTATTCATAAAGTTTTATTTTCATTTTTTTCTCAATTCTTTTTTTCCATCTCCTTTTCCTCCTTTCTTTCCCCCTCCCTCCTTATCCATTTGAAAAAGATTTTCCTACTTTCCACTTACCCATTCTATAGCTATAGATACAGATAGAGATATGCAATACATAAGCTTGTGTGTGTATGTCACTTAACATTATGGTCTCAAGGTGCATCCATTTACCTATGAATACCTCATGCTGATCTCCCTTTACACCACGGTAGTACTGCACTGTGTATGACCAGCACATTATTTCTCTGTGGGTGGACACATAAGCTGTTTCCAAGGTCTAGCTATTAGGAATTGTGCAGTTGTAAACATGAGAACATGTGCATCCCTGTAACACAATGACTTTATGTCTTTGACTTTTTTCTAAGATATAAAGTTCAATGGCTACCCACAGCTGAGGTTCAAACACCTTAGAGTAGCAAAACAGAACTAACATGATTAGAGGTAGCCAGGCTGGAGTAAGGTTTTGGTTCTGAAACCAAATGTCCAGACGAATCAGCTCAAGTCCTTCCTGGCTGTGCAGCCTTGGGTTAGTTACCCATCCTCTTACGTGCACACCTATAAATTAGGGTAATGAGAGAACCTGTATTTTTTGGGCGGTTGTCAGGATAACAAGGATAACCCTTGGAAAGCACCGGGGACAGTACCTGACACATACGTGAGTCGCTGATGAATGACACTGATCACTATAATTGCTGAATATTACAGCTGTTATTATTTCAAACTCCCTTTCCAAAGTCACCCCTGAACAGCTGTGCTTCTGACAAATGCCCTCAATGGTGGCCCACTGGTCCTAAAACACAGTGACCTGCACAGGCCTGCCTCTCCCTGGACACCTCATCCATGTTCCTCTCTCTCCGTAGACCTCAGCTGCTTCCTGAAAACCCTACTAGATCTTGGCATATGCTATTACCACTGCCTGTGCACCTTCTCCTCTTCTTTTCCTCGCGAATCTGGCTCAACCTTTGGCATCCACTTCACTCCCAATAGAGCTTTCCCTGACACATACACTGCCAACCACTGTCTCTGCAAATACATACTCCTATGGGCCACATACCTTTGAGTCATAGACATTCACACCTGGGTGATTATATTTATTTGATGATCCCTGGATTAAGATCTTGTCTTCTGGAACTAGTCTATACTTTCCACAAAGAAAAGGATCATGTTTATTTTGCAACCATAGTGTCTCAATAAACATTCATTGCGGTGAATGAATGAATGATGTTCCTCCTGCTGCCTCACCCCTGCACATGCAGAGTCACCCACAGTACCAAACACAGCACCTTCAAACTTCCAGGCCCTTCCTGACACAGACCCATTCTTCTGGGAGTAACCTGTGCACACCTGAGCTGGACCTTTCCATCCTGGCACTGTGTGAATGATACACAATGACCCTGGGCACTTGCCTGAACCCCTCTGTCTGACATGAGGCTTCATCAGCTTTGTGTTCTCGGTGCGTTCTCCATCAACACAACATCATTAAACACAAACTTAGCAAGAGTACAGCCGGTAGTTGGTTAAAACCAGTTTTGGTGGAATTTTTTTTTCTTACCATAAACATTTTCCATGAGATCCTTAGTAAAGTTTGTGAGCTGGCTTTGGGGGAACAAGGTGGCTCCTGCATGGTCAAGATAGATAGTTTCTGGAGGGAAAAATATAAAAATAATAATAATAATAATAAAGTTGCAGGTTGTTTTGCACAGATCTCCCAGATGTTTTGCCTAAATCAGTTGTTGAGCCCACCCACTACCCATTTAACATCACACCAGGCCACTGATTTTCCTGAGCAGTTGGATGTGTTGCTTCTTATCCACATCCAAGCGTGAACAAGGAGGAACAGAGCTTCTGCTTAATGAGCTGCAAAGCCCTGAGGGAGCCTTCTTGATTAACCAGTTCTCTTCAGATCCTTGAATTGCATCCCACACAGATGAGGTGCCCAGCAAATATTCGCAATAAACAGTAATACAATTATTTCACCATGATTCACTCACACCTATTCTGGAGGTTCTAAGCCATTCCTGGAGGGGTGAGTCCTAATTCTGTTTTCCCATGGGTACATGGCTGGTAGAAGAGAGAGTAGGTACAACTTCTTCGAGGAAAAGCCATTTGGTAATATCAGTCACATACTGTGATGCAGACTCTTCTGGACCTAGCAATCTCTCTTATAAATACCCATCCTTTTGTGAAATGACCTGTATAGTACATAGGATATTGAATGTAACATTGTAATAGGAAAAATTGAAAAAAAATGTTTCAGCTGGATGTGGAGGCTCATGCCTCTAATCCCAGCACTCAGGAGGCTGAGGTGGGAGGATCGATGTGAGTTTGACACCAGTGTGGATTACATAGTGAATTCAAGGCCAGGTACTGTCCTAGCAACAACCCCTCTCTTGGTGCCCAAATCTGCATTAGTAACTTTTTCATAGTGAGACATAAAACCAGACACCTGAAATTTAAAGAGTACCTTGCACTACGTAGCCAGACCCTGTCTCAAAAAGAAAAAGAAAAATGTCTATCAACATACATTTAAAATAAAGAACTGTGGTTTTTTTTTTGTTTTTTGTTTTTTGTTTTTTTTTTTTTTTTTGTCTTTCTCATTTTTATCGGTACCAGGGATCGAACTCACGACTGCCTGCTTGCAAGGCAGGCGCTTATGCCGCTGAGCTAAATCCCCAGCCCCTAAAATAAAGAACTGTTACACACTTATCTAGGACTTTATACTACTAACACATGGAACAAACCCTGAAATATTGTTTCAAATACACACAATGTCAATAGATCTATTTATTCTTTTATTCACTTAAATATTTGATGTTGTATATGATTAATTTTTACTTTTAACATTTTACTGATATATAATCCACTTACCATAAAATTCTTCCTCTTAAAGCACATGATTCACTATCCTATTTTATTATTTTATTTTTGCAGTACTGGGGATTGAACCCAGAGTCTTTGCACTGAGCTACATCCCCAACTCCTATTCCATTTTGAAATTCTTAGTTTTTGACAAATTGCTAAGTTGCCTAGGCTGGGCTCACCTAGATGTCCCCCAAATGCCTCATGTGCTCACATACAAGACTTCTGGGTTGTGGGGCTCATCACTGATTTGCTATTAAGAGACGGGATCCAGTCAGGCGTGGTGGCTCACACCTGTAATCCCAACACTCAGAAGGTTGAGGTGGGAGGATCTTTGTGAGTTCGAGATTATCCTGGGCTACAAAGTAAACTCAAGCCAGCCTGAACTGCATAGCAGACCCTGTCTCAAAAAGACAAAAGAGAGATGGGATCCAGTGAGAAGACTCAGGTCATTAAGGGTGTGGCCTCAAGGGTTTCTCTCCCTCTCACGCTTCTCCCTTCACTCTCTGCTTCCCAGCCACTGTGCCATGACGTGCTTTTCTTCTGCCATACTCCTGTGCCTCACTGGCCTGCCTTGGAGCCAGCTGACTAGGAACTGAGACATGAGCCAAAATTAAATCTCTCTTTAAATTTCAGGTGTCTGGTTTTATGTCTCACTATGAAAAAGTTACTAATGCAGATTTGGGCACCAAGAGAGGGGTTGTTGCTAGGACAGTACCTGACCATCTGGTTCAGAAGCCTTTGAAAGTGATCTGTGGGAGGAGTTTGGAAATGTTTGGAGACACTGGCTGGAAAAGCAGCCCTAGAATGCTGTCAGCCCCTCTTAATGGGAGATTCAGGTTGAAGCTCAGAAGACTAGAATGCTGACTAGAAAGTAGAGGGTACAGACCAGATTCGGGAGGTTTCTTTTGGGAAGAAGGAATCCATCAGCGCTTGAACTTAAGCCCATGTATGTTAGGCTCTGGCAGAAAATTTGTTTTCATTTTTGCTCATGTCTTGAGACTTTGTGGGAGACTAAGAGTGGTGGACTAATTAGTCTGGCACAGGAAATTTCAAGGAGCTCAACATTCAGGCTATGGAATAGGTACTGATGGACGCTTTTAGCCAGCTCTACATGGAGAATCAAGAGCAAATAACACAGCTGAGTAATTTTTAAAGTTTTCAGTTTCACCAAAGAGGAAGCTCAACTCCTATCAAACCTGGAGCATAGCCAGGTGTGGTGGTGCACACCTGTAATCCCAAAAGTCAGAGGCTGAGGCAGGAGGATTACTTCCAATTCAAGGCCAGCTTTGGCTATATGGAGGTCAAGGCTAGCCTGAACTACAAAGTGAGCCCTGTCTCCGAGCAATAATAGCAACAACAACAACCAAAAGCTGGCGCTTATAAAGCTGAGGCAGAGGAGAACTTGGTTGCTGAAAAGATTAGCATTAAAAGAAATCAAATACTTTACATTGGGGCAATACAAGAGGCACCTTGAGGAGATGAACTTGAAAGATTTCACTAGTAGAAAAGTGAAAGCTTCTGTTTAGAGAAGAGAGTCCCAGAGTATACTGCTTAAGAATGGCAGTTGGAATTTGTTCTCTTTGTTCAGTTTAAGGATTTGTTTCCTTGTACTCAGAGACCTCTGCAGCTGTGACTGGGGGGTACTGTCTGAGTGGCAATAGACCTTGGCATCATCCATATGCTCTTGGTTTTGAATGCATGCAAAGTGTAATAGTTACAGGGCCATTGAGGCTTTCACCCAGATTTCAGAAGAAGGCCTGGGAGGCCATTCAGAGTGCCCTGACAGCACAGTGTGCAAAGCTGTGAGAGTGAAGAGGAAAGTGCAGTGGAGACCCCAGGAAACTGGAGAAGCACTTGATCCAGTTCCTGGCAAACAGAAATCAGCCCATGGTTTTAGTTGTTAATAGAAGCACTCAAATAATCCCAAAGCCAACTGGTATTATATCTTCAATAGAGATAATTCCAAGGCGTTTCCTGGGTCATGCTCTGTTATGATTTACATCTAAAATACCCCTTCCAGAGTAGGCATGGTGGGAGACTCTGTAATCTCAGCACTTGGCTTGCTGAGGCAGGAGGATTGCCTTGAGTTTGAGTTCCACATAACAAACTGATAGTTCCAGCCTAACCTAGACTGCATAGCAAGACCCTGTTTCAAAAAAAAGGTAAAATGCCCCTTTAAAACCTTTTATATTCGGAGGTGGGGTTTCTAAAAGGTGACCAGATCAAGGGGGTTCTATATTTATCAGTGGATTAATACAAGTTCATAGCTGTCTGTGCTCTGAGAGGGTGGGCCTAGACTGGTTGGAGGTGGGTCACTGGCTGTGTGACCTGGAAGGGTGGGTGCACTCTGAGTTCTCTTCTCCCTCTGCTCTCTGCCTGCCATGGGTTGAGCCCCCTTCCTCCACAGCTCTTCTGCCATGCTGTTTCAGCCTTGGAGCCAACCAACCAGACTGAATCCTCTGAAAACTGTGAGCCAAAGTAAACCTCTACTCTAAATTGTGAGTATCAGGTATTTTGTCCAGGAGACAAGGAAAGCAACTAGTAGACATTTCATCAATATTCTGGTTCACACAGAGTTCAATTAGTACTGTAAGCTTTCCAAAAGGATTTGAACTACATCTATATACACAATGTACTCTCCACACTAAAATGAGAAAACTCCCATCCAACTGATTAAATGAAACATCTCAACATTTAAAGGTTGAGCATTTAATTATCCCAGAACCTCCACTTATCAGATAAATGTTCAAACTCACAGGAAAAAGAAGAGGTGATACAGTACTATTTTTGTTTGGTTGGCTGGTCTGTCCTTCCCTGCCATCTCTTCTATGAATAAAAACTGAGCTTGTTCTTAGACTCCCAGAGGGGTGGGTGGAGTGTCAGTTTAGTTCACAAAAGTCCTCTTCACCCATGATGTACAGGAAATGCTGGAAACTGCTCTAAATCACTGAGGACACACCTAACAGGACAACAAATAGGCAGATGTGACAGCGGCTCTGGAATCCTAGCTGCCGGGACTGTTTCGTTCTAGAGGAGAAATGTGCTATCCCCTGAAGAACAAGAGTGAAATCAGGAGGGGCCCTGAGCAGGCCTGTGTTTTACAGGGTAGTGTTGAGGGGGGAGAGCAACCAATGGTGGGTGTGAAGGATCAGAGCTAGAAAGGGATTTGGGAGATTAAGGACGTATTGTGCTGAAATAATAATCCATTAATGATAGAGGCGCTGGGCTTTGCTTCTAAAGAATGGAGGGACTCCTCCCCTCTGCACCTGTGTGCTCATGGCATCAGACAATTTCTGTGTGGTAGGAAATTTCCATAAGAAAGAGGAAGAGAGAGGGGCAGCGAAAGTAGTGGGGTGAGAGGCTGTCTCCAGCAGGCAATAATGCAGTAATGTCCACAGGGGGCAGAGAGGAACCCGGAGGCCCAAAGAAGTAAGCAAGGACCCCCTGCCTCCCTCCAGCCTCTTTCCGTGCGTGCATAGAGCCCGGAACTGCACAAGCAGGAGACCACAGCCCACACCACCCTTGAAGGGAAAGAAACAGTTATCCTTCAAAACATGGAGACATGACTCAAAGAGCTTAGCTCTGCCGAAAACACGGGAACGCTCGCCAGTGGTTCATAAACAGGAGAGTAAACCTGGACCACGACTGCCTTCCTCGACTGCTGTCCCTGCCTTACTACCAGGCAGGCAGATCTGAGGCTTCATGAAGCAGCCCCGACTCAATGTCCATTGCACACGGGAGTTTCAAAGCTAAAGCAGTGAGCTGCCATGGCCAGATCGAGCTCGATTTCTGCTCAATCCTTCCGCCTTGCGGAACTCCCCGTGTTCGAGTCCAATTTACCTACCGGCTTGTCCCGTTCTTAATGTTCCAACTAGGCAGTTCGCTAATTTTCAACTCTCCCTGGAAGCTGGAGGTGGGAAGCACAGTTTCGACCGCAAGAATGAGAAAAATGAAGCTTCGAAAATGAAAGTTGCAAGCGGATCACTCCAACGGAGCCCGGGGCGCGGTCTCGGAAGAGCCTTGCCGGGAGCCCGCAGCCGGTGGGTCCCAACCCCGCGGCCCCGGAGGAACCATCCTGACCCCGCGCCCTGCTGCTGCCCTCGGCGGTGTCAGAGCAGTGGTGGGCAGCGGACTAGCAGCATTTTGCAACCTTGACTGCACCTCGACCTTTAGAATCGTGTCGTTCCGCGGCAACAGCGGCTAGGGAAGGTGAAAAGGGACGAGGTCGGTGCTGCCCCACTGGAGAACCCAGGGAACAGCAGCAGCCAGAGGTCTTGGGGTTACAGGAGGGACCCCAGGCAGCAGTATCCACAAAGCGGACAGGTGGACACATCCCTCCTCTTCTTTCCCTTCAAAACGCTCCCCAAAGGACACGGTGCCGCTCCCACCGGGAGCAGAAAACAAACCAAAAGCTCCTTCCAGGTTCACGCTGGCGCCCGCGCGCGTCTCACCTGCCAGGCGGCCGAACTCGCTCTCGCGCAGCTCGCGCAGGCTGCGCTGGCCGTAGCCGCGGGCAAGGCGCGGCGCGCTCGGGTCCCAGCACTGCGGGAAGGCCAGCGGCTCGGCCCCCGGCCCCGCCGCCTCGCCGGCCATGGCCCACGTCTGCCCACCGAGCCGTCAGCCCGGCCAGCCCGGGAAGTGCGCAGGACCCGCCCGCGGCGACTCCGCCCCGGCTGCGCCTTTTTTGTGGCACCGTCCCGGTCCGGGGCGGCGCCTAGCGGGGCGCGCTGACTCACGGCGTCTTGCCTCTGTCCCGCCTGGTCGCCCCAGGGTCAGGGACTCCAATGACAGCTTTTGTTGACTTTGAACAAAGTCCCAGTGGAGCCCACGAAAAGGAGCCCCGACACCAAAAAGGTGAATTTCTCTCCTGGTTGTTACGGAAGTGCCAGTGGAAGAAGCAACGAGGATCTTTTTTCTGCTCTGCACAGCGCCAGGGACCTCAGCCACCTCGGTGCAGCTGTGCGACGGGGCAACTGCAAGGAGACAGACTTCTCCGGTGCTGCGTCCTACTGGGCGCGCGCTCTGCGTTTCTGAGATCGCGTCTGAGCTGAGGGAGATCCACTAGCTCTCATCGGAGATCCACTCATCCGAGATCCACTAGACAGCTCACGTCGGAACAGCGAAGCTCCTAGGCCAACCAGGCGAGGGCGCCTCCTGGCTCCTCCCTCCCGGCTGTAACCCTCCCCCTCACTCCGGAGCGCTTGGGGCGGGAGAAGCCGTGCCCCTGAGCTCCACAGAGTCCCAGGAGGGGGCCAGAGGGCGAAATGGGGCCAAAGTACTCCGAGGTGGGCAGGGTTTGAGGAGTGAGGGTGTGGCTCGCGTGCGATCAGAGGTACTGGCCAGCTACACGGGATGGGGTGCCAGGAGATCAGGTACTGCGAAACCCCGGCGAGGAGCTGGGTAAAGAAACAAATTTTGGGGGAGGTGACATTGTGGAGCGCCCTAGGTCGAGGCGTTGTGCTGGGGGAGGTGGTGGCAGGAGAGGTGCGCAGATATAAGTGGACACGTTCCCCTCGCCTCAGTCCTTCCGTTGTGCGCAGAATGGAGGACCCAAGTCAGGGACCCAGAAGCCTTACCGCAGTGCGACAAGGCGGGAGGGTGCTATACCTCAAACTCGCATCGTGCGACACCCAGGCGAGCACTATCTGCGTGGCAATGGTGGTGGCCCAGCATGTGCCTTAGGCCACAGAGGTCTAAGTGCGGCCCTGCCTCTCCGCACTGGGTACTGCCTGCTTGGAAGAAGCGGGACAGGAGTCCTGGCGAGGAGCTGTGGGTGCTCGCTCAGAGACCCGGATGGTGCCCAAGTGATGGATTTCCGAAGGACTGGCCCAGGGTGACTGGATGCTGTAGGAGCCAGAGACTGAGTGTATGCAGAGAAAAGGATCTGAGGCACAGGACATAATATGGGGCTTGAACAAGGTCATATAAATGTCTCCGAACTCAAGAAGCTTTGGAGATACATTCATACAGACGGTTGTGAAGCAGGACCTTTAGACGCAGAGCCCTGACAACAATGGTATTTAATGGGCCTCTGCCTCCTGCTACATTCCATGAGAAGGTTCAGATACACAGGGGGAGAGTAGGGGTGAACACCAGGTGGCGTGTAAGGCTGAGATGCCAATTAGGAGAATAATCGATTTGCAGGTTAGGTGGTGTGTTATGACCTAAATGGAGACACCTGTTATCTCGGTGCAGCTGGCAGCAGGTCAAGTCTCCCTCAAATGAGGAAGGGGAGAGGCTGTCCCACTGCCTGGCCTCAGAAGAGCTTTGCTTGTCAGTCTTGTAGGGGGGGTGGTGGATGGCGGCAATGATGATGGAACAAACTTCCTGCCAAGTTGTCTGGACGGGTGGGTGTTTCCAAGAAGGCAGAATTCAGTTGGAAAAATGAAGTTACCTTGGTATTTTAGTGTACATTTCCTTTACAAAGAAAACGTGTAGACCTGGATATCCAAGTGGCTAGGAATCAGAAGAGGGCCGGCCCAGCAATGGAGCAGGTTTCTCTCCAAAACTTAGCTGTGTGTATTCTTGGAGGCAACTTGAGAGCTGCAGAAAGAAAAGTCAGAAATCCCAGAAAACTCCCACCCTTGGAGTGAAATGAAATCTTTTTTGTGAACAGAAGTAAAAAGGGTGTCTGGAAATCATGACATGTTTGGGAACAAGGCTTCATTGTATCCACATTCAGAATATTCAAAACAACAGAACACCCACCAGCAGACCACAGGACTGAGGGTGGAGGCCCAGGGCAGTGATCTTCCTGAAGCTCTTTTTCTGGACATTCAGTTTCTCTTGTGTTCACTTGTAAGCAGGTCCACTGGGCCAGGCTAGCATTTCTGGTCTCCTCCAGGCTGATGCCTCATTTCCCCCTCCTGTTCATTTCCCCTTAAATCTTAACGCCACCAACACAGGAAAGGGATCTGCTACCAGTTATTCAGTTTACCAACTGGCAGTTAATACTCATGAATGCTTCCTCTTCCAGCTGTCTACACTGCCAAGATTACTCACTCATGAATTTAGCAAATATGTGGCAGCATATTTGCTAGAAGCAGGGAACAAAAAGAAGACCCAGTGTTCAGTTCTGTTGACTTGTGTGGTGTGCTTGCAGTGGTTGCCGATCTAGAATTCATCCCTTCTGACCTCACTTTGGAAACCCACGCAAACAGAGCAAGCTGTATGGTCCAAGTGGGGCTGAGCCTGCCTTCAGCTTCAAAATAGGTCATCTCCTGGCTCTTGTTACAGCAAATGAATAAGTGCAAGCCACTATCTAGATTTCTCCTGCCCACTGTTATTGGTTTAGGGATGGTCCAATCAAAGAGTAAAATTACAGAGTCTGTTGGAATGTTTTTCTTTTGATATAAGTAAGGAAATAAGTAATTTCTTGGACTGATTGTATTCCTTTGCAACCTTAAAAGAAAGCTGATGGTGGGAGGCAGAACTGAAAGAACCAGAGAAAGAGAAATACAGTCCTAGTCAAACTAAACCTGAAGCTTAAATTACCACTTTTGTCAGTTCTGTGACATAAGAATCCTTTGTGTCTATTTGAGAGGAACTTTCTTGTAACAGAAAGCATCTCACCAAAATAGCTTAAGACATACACAAGTGAAGACAGAATACACCAAATGCCAACTGGATGTGGGGGTGCAGGCCTATAACCCTATCAGCTTGCGAGGCTGAGACAGAAGGATCATACATTCAAGACCAGCCTAGGCAACTTAGCAAGACCCTGGCTCAAAATAGAAAATAAAGACAGGTATGGTGGCTCATGCCTGTCATTCTAGAACTCTGAGAGGCCAAAGTGGTTGCCATTTGTGAAGTGAGATTACAATCTGTACTCCTTTCTTCCAGAATAAAGCACCCCAACTTCCACAGAACACAGGGCTATTTGCAATAAACACTTCTCTTTCCAGCTCCTCTTCATGCTAGGTATGGCCACAAAATTAAGTTCTGGCCAAAGAGATTAGACAGAACAGTGTGAAACTTCCAAGAAACATCCTCTAACTTAAGAGAAGGCCTTTCCTATGCCTTCCTCCTTTGTGCTTGTAATACAGAGATCATGGCAGGAGGCCAGGCAGCCCTTAGTGCCTGACAGTGAAGTAAAAAACCCTTGGTCTGATTGATCTAATCACACTGAGAAGTTCCCTGCCTACCCTGGACTGTTTAAGTATTTTTGAGACAGAAATGTTCTTGTATAATCTAGGAATAAAATTGCATTTTCTGTCGCACATAACTAAACTAAAGCCAGAATGATACTAAAGCCATTTACAGAGGGAAAACTTGCCCTGAGTGAGAGCCAGTGTGAGCTAGAATTTAAGCCCACTTCTGATTTGAGTACAGTTCCCAGTCCCTACATAGATGGCTTTAAGAAACACACAGAATTTGGTTAAGGGAAAAGGTAGAAGAGGAAATATCAGCAATAGCCAACACTGGAGAGTAGTAGTGAGGAAGTGGGCCGGGGTAGGTGGCAGTACCAGGCAGAGATATTACCATCCTGGGTTCGGGGCTGTCGTGTGGGCTGCCATCCAGCTGCAGGGAGTCCCTCTAAGGCAGCCTTTGCTGAGCTGCCACTTGCATCCCAGGAGAAAGGGTCTCTGGCAAAGCATGGCCTCTCTTTTACTCTGGTGTCTTTGTGCCTCAGTTCTGGATTCCAGGCCTGTGGGCCCACCCAACAATGGAGTTCAAATCAAGTAGCCACCAATCAGACATGGCATCAGGTTCTCTCTCCTGACCACAGCTCATGGTCTCTGTCAGCTGCTCTGGTTCAAGCTTGTCAGAAGGCCCCACAAATCCATTACTTGTTAGAAGAAGAGATCCCTTACAAAGTAAAACTGTTTGTATTTCATTTACAGATGGGTGCATTCATTCTTATTTTTCATTTAAAAATGTTATGTAGGGATATTAAACATATTTTTAAAAGAGTATAATGTTAGCAACAAGATGTCTTTTTTCTGTTTTCTTGTTCTTCTGTTTTGGAGACAGTCTCTTTATGTAGCCCCTTTCTCCCACACAGTGACAGTGAGTGCCAACTTGAGGAGAAGTTTCCACCAGCCAACTCTTCTTCCTCAGAAGTTTGTCTCTCTTTGCTCTCTCCATAGGCTTCATTTCTCACTTCGGATCCTTCCTGGGTCCAGGGGACCCACTTAACTCCCTCTTGTCTTCCTCGAATTGCTATATTCTAGTGTCTGGATGGCAACTCTCAGAGAGGTTCTTTCTCTGCTGCTTACTACTCTGCCATCTTCCAGGAAGTCTATGTACTTCACACTGGCCTTGAACTTGCTATCTAGCCCTGGCTGGCTTTTCAACCCTCCTGCCTCAGCTTCCTAAGTGCTATGCCAACTCAACCTCAAGATAGCTCACTTTATTCAGCCCAGTATTTCTCAAATGTATTTGTTGGCTGGCTGAGGCGGCCCAAGGGAGATTTTTGCAGGAGAGGTCTCCAGGTTAAAGAATGCAGTTGTGCAAAACATCAGTGGCACAGAGCAGAGTAGAGATCCAGAGCAAGAACCACCTGCATCTTTGTTGTATAATTCCTATACAGGTTGTTACCTCATATTTACATTCTTGTATAGTGTTGTAACCAACACATGCATGGTTACCTGTGCTAAGTCATGGTATCCCACTGTGAACCCATGCTGGACAAGCGGGGTCATGTCCCCAGGTGTCCTTAGATGCCTCTGAGCTTTGAAGCAATCTGAGCAGTTCCCCATGTCCTGCCCCCTCAAAGGTCAGGAGTATATAAATGTAACATTGTGCACATAACAGGGCACAAGTACCTGTAGTTAACAAATCAAGAACCATGTGGCTTTGCAAAACTACTTTTTCATTTGAACAGTTTCATCATACGCAGCATCAAAGCCTGGAATACAACATTCAAGGCCTGGCCCATATGTTGAGCAAATGCTTTAACCTGGAGGGCTAAGTTTATGCCCTGGTCAGACGCTATTCCTAATGGCCTCTCATATGCAGCAGTCAATGTTTTTGGTCAGATGCTACTCCTAGTGGTCAACCATTGCAATACCTGGTCATGGCATCTGCTAAGTCATTTCACAGTGAGAGAAGGGGCTTATGTCCTGAACCATGATACCCTTCCTACATGGTCAGCTTTTTGGCCACACTTGCACATGTCTTACCATAGGTCGGTACCCCACAAGGGACAGTGCCCTGTCATTCTAGAGC